CTCTTCTGGAGCATGGAGTACAATCATGGTAGAACCCACTATACATAGTACACACCCCAATATCCCCATTTTCTGCAGTTTCTCCTTCAGCAAGATATCAGCTAGTACAGCACTACATATCATACAACATTGTGGATCATAAACCACCATAAACATGGTCAAGAAGAAAGCAACATGAAAATAGTTTGAAAATTTTATTACCTAACAATGATACTCAAAGCGCCGAGAGGGGTAACAAGCACAGCGGGAGCGTAAATATACGCTATAAAGTTTGCAATTTCCCCAACAATCACTGCACACCAACACCCATCACGAATTATCAATGGTCAAATAAGTAAACTAAGGCAATATACGAGCAGATTCGGCTGAAACTAGCTAAACCCATCACCCAAAATTCACCGTCTGAAACAAATTGCAGCTCTCACAACACAATCCTGGTTCGAAAAACATGAAATCACAAGAAAAATTTGAACTTACTGGTGATCATACCGACCCACCAAAGTGGTTCCAACAAATATCCATACCCGCCGGAGCCTGAAACCAATAAAAGAAAGCAGATGATTCGCAAACAAATCGAAGAATCAGACACACGATGGAACCCAGAAAATTGAGGCGAGAAATTAAGACACTGACCCGCGCGGGTACCATTGGCACTCGCCCTGCGAAGACCCTTCTTCTTGAAGATGAAGCTTGAGCCTATGAAGACGCTCGAGACGACGGCCAAAACAAGGCCTTTGAGATTGCTCGAGTACATCTATGGATCAAGACGCATACAAACATATGCTGCTGCTTCTGTACAATCAAACCTGTGTATTATACACACGACACGAACAGCTGATTCAGATTTCAACCAGCGGGAAATTTTGAAAATTGGATGAAACCCTAACTCGAAAATTGCGCCCTTTGCTTTTGTTCCGATTTCTGCTTCTTCTTCTTCTATTTGGTTTTGTATTTTTCTGGGTGATGCGACCTCAGCGATGTGGTCGCAATTGGCGCAATCTCTACCGGTCTTCTTTGGATACCCACTGCCTGCAACCCTTGAATCTCTGTATTCCAATTGTCATTGTCGTCGACTGACAGCGTGTCTTTTATTTTTTATTATTTTTTCACCAATTTAGTTTTTTTTTTTTATAAAAAATTTCAAAACAATTAGTTTTATAAGGGAAACGTGAAAACGGAATAATCAGCTCTTCCGTGGTATATTCTCCTTTTTTTAAAAAAAATAATAATTATTTTATTAGGTCACATTTTTCTTTTTTTTTTTTCAATTTTATTTTTATCAATGTATCCATAATCCTAAATACTCTTCCATGTAGGGTAGGCATTTCGAAAAACGGTGTAGGATAGGTTTATTGCTTAAGATTTAGATATTAGATCTAGGATTTAGAGTTAATGGTTTATGAAATGTTAAATTTTTATTGTTTAGGATTATGGGTATAATAATAAAATGAAAAAAAAAGTATCAAGTGTTCTAATAAAATAATTAAGAATTAAGAATAAAAAAATAGGAGAGTATACCATGGAAGTAGGGCTGGACGTTTCGGTTCGATTATTCGGAACCGGACCGAACCGAACCGAACCGAGAAAACGGTACTTTTCCCGATCCGAAACCCTTGGATTAATTTATCATTTTAAACCCTAATTAAAAATATGTGTTATCTTATTTCTCAATGAATAGATAGTTTTTTTTTTCCATTTATCATTGGCAGTCTCTTGTTTTCATTTGGCATCTTGTTGCTCATACATAAATGTCTTGCTCATTAGAGTAGTGTCTTCTTTATTTTTCGATTTCTTTTGTTTGTCAACACATTTTCTTTTATAATCCGAAAATTCAAAGGATCTTCGATTCAATTACATCTCCTAAAACATCGAAAAAATCTAGGTGAACGTCTCTTCTCAAATAGAGACTTGAACTTGGATGGAGAATGAGGTTTGGCACATTACTTAGCAATTGAGATATTCAATCTCGATCGGGTTCAACACAATTAAAATTATTATGATAAAAAAATCAAAGTATTAATTCTTACAACAATGAGATTAACTCTAACATCTTAAACCTATTGGCTACGTTGGCAACCACCTAATGGATGGATGCTGTAACACTTCACAACAACAACAACAACAAAAAAAGGAAAACGCGTGAACCATAGTATTGTCTTGCAGACAACTCTTGTGTAAGACACAAAGTACACATCTATGTCAGCAGCCTAATAGCTCTCCCATTGTTGAGCAAATTAACCCGTCGAGCTTCAAGATTTGAGACCGCGGTCTAGGCCCCCAACATATGGAAGAAGACTCTCAAAAACCGCATCTGCCAAGTCGGAGATGAACAAGGGTTCTGTTCCTGGTGCAGGAACTCCTCCCCAGTTCTTGATTCCATACTCCAACGCGCATGCTCTTTATACTCTATATTATACTTTTTACTAATTGTTGTCGTAATTTATTTTGTTATAAGATTGAATGTAAATATTCACAATATTCAAATATATATATATATATGATCGGTAATTTGTTATATGTGACATTTAAAAAAAACGAAAAGAAAATGTCTAAACTTGACGCACATGACACTCGAACACGAAGCCTTAAAGAAAGAGTTATCTTTGCACATGCACACGAGAAGGTAATATGACCAATGACTGTTGAGGTCTTTGTTTGGTAACACAATTTTGGTTTCTTGGAAATGGACAATATGTATACCATATGCATGTCATATATATATATATATATATATGGTCACTTGACTGTAATATCTTCATCTTTTTTTTTCACTTTCATATCAACATTTCCTCACTTTTTTTTGTTAGCAATGGAAATTTTTGTCACCCTTTTCGTCATTTATTGGTAACTTTATCGGCAATTTTACTATTATGAAATGATTGGCGAATCTTTTAGAACACGGTTTTAGTCCAATTTGCGATGAACCACCTTTGTTTACTATCCATTTTTCGTTAACATTTCGTCGTCGTTGTTTATTATTATTTTTTTTTGGCAATGCAAAATTTCGACACCCTTTTCGCCACTTTTAATCGTATATGTTTTTTTAAGAGATTTATTGACAATCTTGGTTATGAAATGGGTGGCGAATGTTGGGGAATTGGGTCGGTCCAATACGAAAATAATGGCTAGATGATTGAGATGTTGGATATATTCGCATACAAAGCGAACGAGTACAACAAATAAATTCCACGAGGACCACTTCATACACGTGCGTGGGGGTTCACAAATCCTATCTAACTGTCATAAATTGTTGCTATTACAACTTTTTGTTCACACTCGAAATTAAACCCTCATTTTATTTACAAAAATGAGTTCAAGTTGGATTTTTCTTCCACGGCCATTCTATATGCTAGATTTCGAAATTTTATTGGATAGACATTTCAGACAGTTTGGTTTCCATTATTTTCAGAATCAAATTCCTTTTGAAAAAAAAAATCGTTTGTCTATATATATAACCTAATAACCAAAGTGGATTGAAATTTCAAACATGCAAAGGCGTAGAGATTCAAAGTTTCCATTTGGTTTAGATTTAGATTTTTCTATTTCAAAAAACATATCTATTTTATTTTTATTTTATATTCGTACTCGATTTTTATTTATAAAATATTTTCATTTTCAAAAGCAGATTTTGATTTTGTCATATTTTTTATTTCTAGATTTAATTCATATTCAAAATTTTTAAATTCATAAAAAAAAAAAAGTTTATTCGTTTCATTTTGCACACATCAGAATCAAAACACCCATATTATTCAAATTATATACTTTATTTTTTTTTTTCAACACTTGTGGAGTGAAGACAAATGTGGTAACATGGTATTGGTGTGAAAAGCAACGCGAGGAACAAAACATACAAAATTAAAGCAGAAAATCAGTAGGGCTTTGACATTGACCTTCCACGTATATTTTCTTGCATATAATTCTAAATGTATCATCTTCTTGATCCTTGACCACCACATTCCCCTTTCACATGCATGTATACCTTTCTTTGTCCACATGTAACCAAGATATATAGGATGTTATAATAAAAATTGGTGAGAATTTAAAATGGATATTAAATCAAACGGGAATCCAATCTAAATATCATAAAATCCAGAACGTGTACGAATTGAAATATATATCTTTTCATTTCTTTTTCGAACCCGAATTCATCAAAACCCGATTTGTCTATGATAAATCTGGACAAAAATGAAGTTTTTAGAGAACATAATATAGCCCCGAAATTCCTTATTTTGCAATAAATTAAATGGTTAAATTAAATAATACAATATAACATCTATTTGTTATAAATAATATTAGTAAATTATTTCAATAAAAAGATATATGGATTTATTAAATGAAACATTTTAGTCAATTTCAATTGGAATCTCTCTCTCTCTCTCTGCATGTGTGTGTATGGATCACGACGGTCTTATCTCCACACATGCACGTATAGATGTAGACATACATATACACATAAGGTACAAACATACATAGACAAGTGCAAATATATATACATATATATATATATATCCTCAATTATTTAGGAGTTCTCTAATGCAAAAAAAAAAATATATATATATAAAAATGGATCCATTATATTAACATTTCCAGTCCACAGTTCTACTTCTTTCCAACCTTAATTAAAAACTCGTATATGCTCAATCATGAGTCATAATGAAGATGAAGGATATGGAGGAACCAAAGAGGATGCTCCTCATGAAGAACATAACACGTCACCTTCCTCATCATCATCTTCACCGTCCCCCGAATTCTCTTTCACCGTCTCACTCCGGACTTGTAGTTCATCTTCAGATATTCTCCTCTCCCCGAATGGTAAGACCAAATCTTTCGCTGTGGATCTCTCTCCTGCAGATGATATCTTCTTCCATGGCCACTTGCTCCCCCTTCAAATCCTCTCTCATCTCCCCATCTCTCCTCGCTCCTCCGCTCATTCCCGCGACGCGGCAATCCTTCCAAAAGAGAGATTCAACGGCCAAGAAAACACCCAAGAACATGACAAGAACCCTTCTTGCTCCGATGGGGACACCGTTCTTGAAAAACACGACGGGATGAAGTCGAGATTTTCGTTTATGCTGTCTAGTTTGTTGAAATGGAGAAAAGGGTCGGAGCCGAAAGGCGGAGAAAAGGGCAAGAAAGCAAGTCAGAAGAAACGGCAGAGATTCGAACTCAACGGCGTATTGAAGCGGTGCACGACAATGGTTAAACAAACGGTTCTCTTCCACGGAAGAAACGAGACGAAGGCCGAGAAAACACGTCTCGAGAGGGAAGACTATCGTTCGTACTCGGGGAATCTAAGCTTGAGGCACGATATAATCGATCTGAGAGGGAATAGAGGCGAGTATTCTGCACCGGTTTCCACAAGAACGTCGCCGACAAACAGAGGCCTTCTCGTGCCGATAACAAGGCTTTCTTCTTCGGCAAGCGACAGCTCGGTGGAAGAGCTGCATGCTGCAATTGAGGCAGCTATTGCTCACTGCAAGAAGTCTTTTGCTATTGACGAAAAAAGCTCAATGAAATCAGAAAATGCAGCCTGAGTTTCTATTCATCATGCGGCCACCAAAGTTCTTTGTCTGTATACTTTAAGGCTATTTAGTATATAATATATATATACATATATATATATATATATTGGTGCAAGCTATATTTTATTTTCTTGGGTACGAAAAGTCTTGATTTATGTATCAAAATGTGATCATAGGTTACTTATTTAATTATTTTTACAAATTAACAATAAACTGAATTGAACCCTGACTCGTACATTCGTAGAAATGAGGAGGACGAACCAAATATATGTTGCAAGATTTTTTACAATTATGATGTAGGAACTATAACCGTTTTATTTTATAGAAATATATATGTACTGTAATTTTAATTCCATTCCATAACGGTAATAAAAATTACTATCCGGTATTTGCACCTTAACCCGATATTTTTTAGAAATGACAATTCGGCCATTCATCTCTTAATTTAATAAAAAAAAATTAATTTCCTAAATAAAATAACACATAAAATACGTCTAAATCGATTGAAATGTAGGTCCACCTAATTATTTTTCGATAATTCCACCAAAAAAGATAAGTCTTGGGTTCTAGGCCATTAACTGAATGCAACGTTTGAAAAATTGTCCGGACCTTGTTTGGTTGTTTTTTGGTTTTGTCATTTCAAAGCAGTTTCTTGAAGCAGAAACATATAGTAACATTCGATTTCATATCTGACATTCTTTTGTATAGAATTTTAGTTCGTTTTTTTAATTAAATATACAAAGAATATATTATTAATTCTCATTAATTTTGTATAAATTATTTTAAATAAATAAAAATAAATTAAATGAATCTAAATCTAATACGAAAACTACGGACAAAACCGAACTAAAGCCGTTTTTTTTTAATAGTAGCTTTTGTTTAATTGAGAGTCGAAGTTAGGCAGAATAGGAACCGCCAAGAAAACTGTATAAATATAAATTTTATAAAATCTAAAATTCGAAATCCAAAAATAACCAAAACGGAATCAGACTAAAATCCAAATACTAATTTTTATTCAACTTTAACTTACGATTACATGACTCCACGTATACATACACGTTTTCTCATATATAAGAATATACACTGCCAACCAACTAATTAATTTCATTATAATCATACATTATTTTTTTTCCCCCGTCGACTCCTCATTTTCTTATCGAGTTCTCTTTATTTTTTTTCCTTTCCTGCCATTGGCTGCTGTAATCATTTTACACTGTCAAGTGTCCATAGAACAAAAACAGACATGTTAATTTCGCTTAGTTTTATTAGGATAAACATGAAAATATTACTAATTTTCGTTAATTTTATATAAATTAATCTAAATAATTAGATGTTTTGCCATTTTCATTCAACTTCGTCTATTCCAATATTTTCCGTATTTTATAAGAACAAACCAATATCTCAAATTCAAAAACTATATCTTTATAATTGGGGACATATATAATTTTACTATAAGCAAACTTAATTTGAGTGGGGGGTATTTTACAATTTTGTTAAAAATTTTATAAACTATATAAAGAAAATAATTTTTTTAAATTAAACAAGGTTCGTATCAATGTAGATCCGCCCACGGATTTAACCGTATCCAAAATATTTTTTTGAGAACCGTAAACGTTACTTACCTATTACAGTTCGTCTTTCTGGTAAAGGGAACGCCGAAATCGACGCCACATTTTTTGGGGAGACGGCTGGCGTTATCGTCCTTGACGCCCGGATACCGACTGGCCACGTCCTTCAGGCATCGGCACGCAGCTTGGCGGTCGGCCTTCTTCCTCGCCATCGCCTTCAAACTCTTCAAGCCGGCGCAGCATTTCGAAGAAGGGGTTCCCCCTTTCACGATGTACCCCGCACACGGCATCAGGGTCGATTCCACCGCCTGGCATGTTATGGCGTTTCCTCGCTCGGAGATCGCCAAAATCAACATCATGATCGTCAACAACGGTAACATAGCCGATTTCATTTCGAGTTTTTTTTTGTTGTTGTGTGGTGTTTGTTAGTGTGTATATATATATGTTGTGTTTAGACAAATGTAAGACTTTATAAGATGGAGAATTTAATTAGGTCATTAGATGTAATAAGTCTTTATAGTAATTGCACGTTGTTTTCGTGTGTGTCATTCGTTTAGAATGGTAGAGGAAGTTCCGGACAAGTGTTGCTGTTTTTTTAGCTTAGAGTTGTTTGGCGGCAATCAAACATGTGTTTTTTTTTTCGTGAAATATAACATTTAATTACTCGCTATTTTCATATATAGCTGCTATATACAGATATCGAACCGATTTTGCAAAATTTATATATTTTTTGGGTCCAACTCAATGATATCCATATATATGTATATATGAAAATGGAATCGTCGTAAGTCTAAACAAAGTTGAGATTTCGAAATGCAAATAAAAACATTATCTTAGTTTTAAAAACAGTACTAGCGTTTCGTATTTTAATGTCGCTCACCCTACTAAAAACATTATCAAAATTGATAATCGTTTTTGTTTATTTTATTTCCATTAACTTCATCTGACTCAAGGTTTTATCGTCGAATTTGGAATATATAATCGTCTTCTTCGTCTTCGAGCAATTTGCGGAGTAGATACGGGTGTGAACCAAACTTTTGTAATTGAATTTCTGTTTTAAGTTTAATGATTCTTATATATGATTAATCAAATGCAAATAGTTGCGTCACCCTTTTGATGACACAATTTAGTGACGCAATTACGTTATTATATGTGTTTTATTATTTATATGTATAAACATATAAATATTTATATATAAATATGTATTATATATATATATATATGTATTTGTACAAATATACGAGTATTTATATATAAATATAAATTATATATATATATATATATATTATATGTATTTATATGTATAAATATACGTGTATATATATATATATAAAACGTATATTTTATGTATATGTATATATATGTGTATTTGTATATACAAATATACGAGTATTTTATATATAAATGTGTATTTAATTTATATATACAAATATATTATATATTTATACATATGATATGTTATATACGAATATATATATAATCGTGTATTTATAAATATATATATATATGTATGTATGTATGTATTTATACATACAAACATATGTTATATATATAAACATATATATTTTATGTATGTGTATATATGTACAAACATATACATAAGTATATCTTTTTATAAATATAAATATTTGTATATGTGTATGTATTAATGTTGTAATATATTAGAAGTTTAACTTGGAGTAGTTGGTTGTTTGCCAATTTAAACTCTAAAGTTAAGTGTGATTGAGGTGTAGTGGAAGAGTGGGTGACCTCTTGGAAAGTGGATTTTAGGATTTCAATTTCAGAATTTTCGATTCGGTTTAACATCGCGGTTGGAGGTTAGAGGTCGGGATTAGGGTATAGGATTAGGTTCGGGATCAAAAAAATATATTTTGGATCCAAAATATACGTTTTAGTGACGCAAATTTTGCCTCACCTTTTGCATCACTTTTTCCGTATTTTTTAATAGTGTCGATTTTATGTTGTCTGATTTGAATGAATTAAATGGTTGTATAAACACAATTGAAGAACCAATTTAGCTAGCTGATGAACCAATTAGTTCTAATAATTTGGTTACAGCCATTATTTATTTTTTGTATTCGATTAACAAAAAAGAAAATTCAGTTTCTTTCCAAGAAAATTGCGATGATTTCCGCTATATCATTTATTGCTATATTGAACAAAAAAAAAAAGGATATACAATAAAAAAAACGCAACGTTTTATTGAGCCTTTATTATTTCAACTCTCTCGCTAGGGTTTGGGTTTGCTCATAGAAACACTCTTGCATCAAACTAATTTTATATGTCCTGTTTTTTTTTTTTTTTTTTTTGTGACGAGCCCTCTTTATTAGTCGCTTCGTACGTAGCCGTTCCAAGAACTCGTTCAATTCACACTGTCCACAAAACAAAACAAAACAACAACAACGTTAAATACGTCATAGCATTATGCAAAAAAAAACCCCTTCAATACATAACATAACACAAAAAAAAAAAAAGAAGAAAAAAAACGTTATATATATACCTATCACAATTCGTGCCCGTTGAGAACGGAACGCCAAAATCAACACCACATTTGCCGGGGAGCTGGCTTGCGTTATCGTCCTTAATCTTAGGGTTTTTGGTCGCCGTATCTTTCAGACACCGGCAAACGGTTTGCCGGTCATCCTTCTCCGGCGTCGCCTTCTTCAGATTCTTCATCCCCTTGCAGCAGAGCGCCGACGGGTTTCCTCCGTTCATAAGATACGACAGGCACGGCGCCATGGAGAGGTTAGCCTGCGAACACGTTATCGCCTTCCCCTCCTCCGCCATCATCGATACAAACACGATGACCAGAAGCGGTAACACCACGAGTTTCCTCATTTTTTTTTAAATTTGTTGTGTTTTTCAATATTTTTTTTTTGAATTTGGGTTTGGTATTGGAGAGATATATTGAATTTATACGAGGAAGAGTTCATAGTGTTCATTGGCATGGTTTCCATGTGAATCTACTTTTTTTTTTTTTTTTTTTTTTTTGTGACGAGCCCTCTTTATTAGTCGCTTCGTACGTAGCCGTTCCAAGAACTCGTTCAATTCACACTGTCCACAAAACAAAACAAAACAACAACAACGTTAAATACGTCATAGCATTATGCAAAAAAAAACCCCTTCAATACATAACATAACACAAAAAAAAAAAAAGAAGAAAAAAAACGTTATATATATACCTATCACAATTCGTGCCCGTTGAGAACGGAACGCCAAAATCAACACCACATTTGCCGGGGAGCTGGCTTGCGTTATCGTCCTTAATCTTAGGGTTTTTGGTCGCCGTATCTTTCAGACACCGGCAAACGGTTTGCCGGTCATCCTTCTCCGGCGTCGCCTTCTTCAGATTCTTCATCCCCTTGCAGCAGAGCGCCGACGGGTTTCCTCCGTTCATAAGATACGACAGGCACGGCGCCATGGAGAGGTTAGCCTGCGAACACGTTATCGCCTTCCCCTCCTCCGCCATCATCGATACAAACACGATGACCAGAAGCGGTAACACCACGAGTTTCCTCATTTTTTTTTAAATTTGTTGTGTTTTTCAATATTTTTTTTTTGAATTTGGGTTTGGTATTGGAGAGATATATTGAATTTATACGAGGAAGAGTTCATAGTGTTCATTGGCATGGTTTCCATGTGAATCTAGTTTTTTTTTTTTTTTTTTTTTTTTTTTTGCATTCATGTGTTTAGAATGTTGAAGGATTTAAGGAAAACAAGTTATTTGTTGTCACGTCTTAAAATTAATTCATTAATTAACATTAAAAAAAATTAACGTCTTGGGCTCTTACTCTTAGTTACCATACATCATATAAACAAATAAATATATATTTTGGGTTTTGTCTTTTTTTTTTTTAATCTTTTATGCGGTTTAATACGGGAGTGACAAGTGCCCTATATTAGAATATAAAAGATTTATATGCATTTTTTCGAATCAATTGAATAATCAATTTCTAGTTAAAAATGATTTTGATGTTCAATTCTCTAAAGGAGTTTTCAGATACATCTCATGGCAGAGATATATAAAACGTCGTTTCTGATCTTAAATTGCCTTGTTTTACCAACGAAACACCGGAAAAGATGAAATTGAGAAGGACCAGAGTTGTTTTTTAAAACAAATATTTTATAAACATGAAATATATTTTTACAATTTTTTATATATGTGATAGATATATAATTAGATCCAAATTTACATTTGTTTTCGTATATATGTTAATTCAAAGCTTGAAGAAAAGATATACAGTTACAATTAAAAGTATTTAAATAAAAAGGAAAAGAGAATTTGGTTTGTAGGCTGAATAAATTTTTATACGGTCTCAAACATGCGCCGAAATGCTAATATAAGATATTTGATTCCTTCATCACGAGTCTTGGATACAACAGACTGAATATAAATCCTTGTGCATACCACAAGAGACTTGGCGATGGTGATGTTGTACATCGACGAGGTATTGGTATCAAATTCCAACAAAGATCGTCTGAAAGAATTGAAGACTCAATTGGAGAGAGAGTTTGAAATGAAGAAATTGAGCCAAACAAATAAACAAAATTCTGGTGATGTAAATTTACCGAGATAGAAATCGTAGAAAGATTTGACTTTTACAAAGAAATTATGTAAATAAAATCTTGTCCGTTCAACATAAAAAGGTAAAAGATTGTAAGTCAATATTTGTCCTAGTTATTATAATATGACAGTAAAAAAATTCCTAAAGGGCCACGAGAGGGTGAGTAATGCAAAGCCCAAAATGCAAAAGCCCAAATCCCGATTAAACAAGAAAGCCGAAGAATCTTTGTTTCCTACTTTTCCTTCGTGGTCTCTTCTTTTGCAGAGCTCCGCAAATTCAGAAATGGAGTCATCACCAAAACCAAACCCTGTCTTCTCCTTCTCATCCGTCCTCCATCACCACTGCCTCCGCCTTGGCTCCGACCTCTCCGCCCGATTCGAAGATACGAAACGCCTCGCCGGAACCCTAGCAGCTGCCGCTGGCCGCCGCTTCTCGCCTCTGCCGCCCCCGTTCGCCTCCATCTCTCAGTCGCAATCCAAGCCTTCCTCCGCCGCCGCAACAAATCCATCGTTGAGTCCGCTTCAGGTGGCTAAAGCTCTGGTTGGGACGTCGGTGTTTACCGTCAGCAACACTAACAACGAGTTCGTGCTTATTTCTGATCCCAGCGGCGCCAAGTCTCTCGGTTTGCTCTGTTTCCGACAAGAAGATGCAGAAGCATTTCTTGCTCAGGTTTGCCCTTGCTTTTCGACTTGGAATCTGGGCTCTGTCTTATCGAACTGCACTGGAAAAGTGTCATGAGCTTGTAGTTGTTCGTTTGATTTTGTATTCAGGCTCGTTTGCGGAGAAGAGAATTGAAATCCAACTCTAAGGTTGTTCCCATTAGTCTGGATCAGGTATGTTGAATTATCATTCTCTATGCCAAATTCTGTAGTAGGAATTTGGAATTGTAGGAAAATGAAGTTCTTATGAGCAAAGCATTGTGAAATTCAATAGCGGAGGAATGCGGGTTGCTTTGAGGGAGAGAAGACGATTTTCCTACTGGAATGGGATGTGGTTTGATTGGTGGATTTTCGAGAAATGTTTGTTACAAGGGCGAAATGCTACACAGTCTCAGCTACGTCTGTTCTTTAGTTTTCTCTGATTAAAATTAGTCGAGCAGATTTGTTATTAGGCCGGAGTCGGTTCAAGGTGAAAATTTGATTGGTTGACTCAAATGGTTAGAGTTGACGTCGGAAACGTGAAAAAATGTCGTATACTCTAAGGTTCTGTCTCGGTTGTTTTGCAAGATCATACGATGTGTTGTTAGACCTTCTTAGAATGGGTTCATGTTTCATGTTGTTTCTAGGGGCTGATATGAGAAACTGTTGTGCAGAGATTATCTTTAGAGATTTTTACTTTTTACTGTTAACTTTGTAAATGCAAATAATAAGGCATCCATACGGGCCATTCTGGAAGCTTGAGATGAACATTTATTTCGTGTGCAAACTTTTGATTTTACATTTGTACCAAAGAATATTTATGAAGAAGTTTCACCAAAATAAGAAAATGGTGAGATGGAAACCCTTGTTTTTGTGATAAGTCGCACTATTAACGTTTTTTTTCATGGATCCTACAACTACTGCATTGGGGCAAAATTCCTTTAGACTGACAAATAAATTAGTTGCATTCATGTATAACTACTCCTTTTGTGTCCTCTCCATGAGATTCATGTCGGCATATTACTTAAAGCATGTTGTGGCAGGTGTACTTGTTGAAAGTTGAGGGAATTTCCTTTCGCTTTTTGCCAGATCCAATCCAGATAAAAAATGCATTGGAGGTTGGCTCCCCCTACGAGACCTTTGTTATATGATTATCTTTCAAATAGCTTGGTTATTGCAATATTTTAATCTTGGAAACTATGGAAATCTCATTCTGAAGCTACTTTTATTTTTTTTTCAGCTAAAATCTTCTGGTAACAAGAATGGATTCGACGGAGTTCCAGTTTTTCAGGTATATCTACTGTATAACTTGTTGATAGATATCAGTGGTTTGCTTGAGGATTTATTATGGCCAGTTATAATTGCTCATGAATACTTTAAATGGATGACTGTCCCATAGTGCTGCTTAATTGTTTGCTGTAATTCTTGAATAGAAGAGCTGCTGTCAATATGCCTGTTTACGTATGAATATATCAGTTCCTTAGCTACATCTACCAGATATTGTAAGCTTTTTTTCTAAACCAATGAAGTATCCTTACTGTTTGTTAATTTAAAGTTTCTTAACTTTCTCTTCATTAGCTTTTTCACTTTCTTTTCTGTTGATATCCGTCTGTTCTATTAATGTGTTCTGCAGTCTGATCTTCTGGTCGTAAGGAAGAGAAATAAGCGTTACTGTCCCGTATATTTCAGCAAGGTTAGTTTCTTTGGGATCTTTAATGATACTAAGAAAATGAGAATTGCAAATTTCTTGACAAATGGTAAATTGCATCCTTGTGCAGGAAGATATAGAGAGAGAACTTTCAAAGTATTCAAAAGCATCAAGAGCAGACAAGCAAATTATGGTACTAAGCCTTCGATTTAGTTTTCTATTTTGAGAGTTTTTATAATACACCCCAAATTCTAGAATTAAAGTGACATAATTAAAAAAGAAAATAAACCAAACCGTCCAACTTAAGCACGGAAGGTTAATCAGCAGCTGGAGCTGCTAGCAAATTAGATTGGCAACACATGCAATTTGTAAGAGAGTATGTCAAGGGGAGGGACATGGAGATAAATGTAGAAAAAATGGGAAGATTAGACGAGTCTGAACCCTTTTCTTGTATCAGCAGAATATTCTGCAAGGTAAGGTTTGCTTACAATACACCCTTGTGGTGAGACCCTTCTCTGAACCTTCGCTCAACGGGATGCTTTTTGCACCAAACTGTGCTTTTTTATCGTAATTTGACTTAGAGCTTGAAGAGCCTCACCCTCTGTAAGTAGAAACTGTGAATTTTGAAGCCAATATCGGATGATTCAAGATCTGCATGCATTGATCTTTATAACTCCAGACACTTGTATTATGTTGTTTTAACATCATTCGCAAGAAGTAAACTGATAAAATGTGTTTAAATTTATACTCTAATGAATGATCCATTGTCCCCCTAAACTCATGTAATTTGTTGTACTAATATTATTGCTGAACAGGTTGGAAGTTTGGAAGATGTACTCAGGAAAATGGAGGTAATCCTTCATACCGAGTTGAGTGCATGTAAGTTTGCTACATGAAGACGATTGGAAAATCTAATTTCGATTCCATTTTGTATAGACGAGCGAGAGGAATTCAGGATGGGATGATCTAATATTCATTCCACCCGGTAGGAGTTACGCCCAACACATCCAAGAGGTGGCTAAAGAGTAGAGATTATCGGTTCATTACTCTTACACCCACATGAAGGGCTCAAAGTAGTAGTGGGAAAAGTTGTTTTCGGCTTCCGTCCTCACGGTAGAACAGGTACCGTTAATTCTTACTCTACATTTTGAGCATTACATTGTCCGCGAGAAACTACTGTACTAGTCGAAGAGGGTACGCAATGGGAACTTAAGAGAGGGATTATCAGCAAATAAGCTCCACATTATGCGATCATTATGGTAGTTTCAACCGCTATATAGAGATGTTTTATAGGATTAGCTCCGTTATTTTCGGGATTAAGAAAAACTCGGCTTTAGGCTCGGATTTGCAGCGTATAAGTTGATCCCGGTAATCGGATTTCTTAACGAGATCGGATCATTGTCATAATGGTTTGGCAACAAAGAGTAAGCCAAATCTCGTTGCAATAAGCTGCTTTGTTCTTGTTTGAGAGCTAAACAAGTGGTATCTTTATGAAATTTGCAGGGGACTATTTCGAAAAAAGATCTCAGGAGTTTTTCACAGCCCGATTACGAGCTGCTCTAATTTTTCGTTTGGACGAAAATAAACTCTATATCAAAAAATGCTCATTTGAGGATTAATTTCTTCAAAGATGGTCATGTCAAACTTACCGTATCTTGGGTTTCTTTGCATTTTTCTACAGGGATTTGATGAACTTGATTCTAGAGAAAGGGCATAGCAGAATTCCAGTTTATTATGAGCAACCAACTAACATAATTGGACTTGTTCTGGTAGAATCTTCTCTCCAGCTTTGGGTTTCTTGTTTTGTTCATGTCTTAGACATTGCCTATCAGTTCTCAGTTGTATTTCAAATCGGTTTATGCATCTAAAATTGTTCGAACCATATATATATATATATATATATATATATATATATCCTTTTCTTTGTATCGAATCGAATTTGCTTCAACTTTACTGATGAAAATATTGTTTACCATCATTTTCACAACATTAAGATTCGGGATCGGCCATAATCCCAAAATTACTGGATATCCCAATCGTATCCATGCTATGAAATCGGAGGAATATAAACAATCCGAAAATCAGATCGTAAAATTAGAATCCGAAATCAATTGTTCAAGAGATTGAGCTCTCTTATTACTTTTTCTTTTGCTTTTGAAAGTGTACAATGTGAAGAAAACAAAGAAAACAAATGGTATATTTATAAAAAAAACAAAAGACAAATTGTCTATGGAAAATTCGAAGTTATTGATTTATACTTAAAAGTATTTTATAACAAAAGCTTGGAAGAACAAAAACTAGCATAATCATATAAGTGAGGACCAAGCTAATCATTTTGTGGGTTAGGGTCAACCATCAAATCTATTTTGTGGGATTACTATAAATTGCTTTGGGTTACCCTCCCAACTCATCGTAATTTTAAACATCTTAGCGTGATCATAATTAATTTTGACTAAACTTGGTAATTAGAAATAAAAAAAGAGGTGAAATAAATAATAAATCATACATAAATAATTTTTAAAAATGGAAATTGGTTGAAAAGCTTTGGTCCTCATGTAACAACCGATGTTCATTTGAGGGGACAAGGCAAAGAAACTGACGAGAGAACCAAAGTGGTCTTTGGTGTTTTTAACTGCAAAGTTTAAAACATATTTTTTGCAAATTTAGTTTTTTCTTATTTGGGTAATGTACTAATGTGCATGGGGTTGTTTCAAATTCAATGCTCACTCTGGAAAAAAAATGTTATTAGAAATACTTGTTTATTTGGTTATTTTCAAATTTAATATAAAGAATATATGTATCAAATATTATCACGTAAATTAGAAAAATATATTCGGAAAAAATAACATATATAAACATTATCACTTCGATCAAAAAGAGATTGTTAAAAAATATTCATATAACATATAAACTCTACTTTTGACAAAAAAAAAAACATAAACTCTACCTTTTTATATTCTTTGGCCTATCAACCGAAAATATACTTATATTATGCAATAACTTTTTAGTTTTCTCCAATCTTACCTAATCCATATTGGATGAGTTTTTGAGTTGATTAATTTTTGTAATAAATTTGTAATAACCATAAAAAAATTTTTTTTGAGTAAATCGGTTGGTAGTTTTATTGAATTTATCCCAAAAACTCAATACAAATTAATATAATATTATTGTAATCTATCATATTTTACCTCCAACTCAAAGCATAGTACCCGAACCCGAACCCGAATATCTCGGGTTATATGTTTTATTACCCGATCTCATACCCGTAAAATCGAATACCCGAATTCGAAAACCCGTGAGATAATTTCCGGGTACCCGAGGGTACCCGAACCCGAATATTTATATTTTTTTCAATTATTATTTTTAAATATATTTATATATACATACACAAAATCATTCAAAATAAATTTAAATTGTATTTATATCTAAAATAACTTTATTTTAAAAAAATACATCAAATATATATCCCAATAATATCTATATAATCATTAATATTAAATAAAATAACATAAAATCTAATAAAAAATCTAAATTTTAAAATATATATTTTTATTATCCGGGTATCCGAGGGTACCCGTGAGATAATAACCATTACCCGAACCCGAACCCGAAAATTCGGATATTCTAATACCAATATCCGATCTCATGTCTCATTCGCTCGGATACCCGAATTTTCGGGTACCCGACCCTCGGGTCGAGTCGGGTACTCGAAATCCGGGTATTTTTGCCCACCCCTAAAGCATACACGTGGACGTATAGATCATTTAATAAAAAAGGAGCCACCAATTTGTTTTTATTAAATTAAACAAAAACAAAAAGAGAGCGAATAAAGTGAGAAATTATGAAGCGAGCAATGACAGATTGGATGAGAGCTGGAGAGAGGGCAATCGTCGTCATCCCCTGTCTCCGTGATTTTCTCTTTCTAATTTCTGACCTTCAATTCCCCACCTCTGTTTTTGTCTGCAATAGACTGGAAAACAAATCATCATCGATCCCCGTTCTCTTTGCCTTTCTCTGGATCATCGTCTTCTTCCTTCCCGAATCTTCGCCCGCCTTGTTTCCACTTCTGTGGTAAGTCTCTCTTCCACGACGGCTCTTGGATGAATCATTTTGATGTTGCGGCTTCTTGTATTATCCAGCTTTGGTGGGTTCAATTTGAGTTCCTCGTTCGTGGGTTTACCTGATTATTGTTGATACCGTATTAGCTTCATCTTCTTGTTTCAAATCCTCAGCTGAGAGAAACCTGAGTTATGTCTTTTTTTTTGTTTGCTCTGATTCTTCATCCTTACCGTGGAATTCTTGTTCGTTTGGTGTCAGAAACAGGCAAGACACAAGTGTGGTGTTGATTTTTCAATTCAATTCGAGGACTTCTTCGAACTATGTTTTTCTTTCTCAGAGAATATGCAATCGTTCTAGATTGATTCACGGGACGAATCCAAGAACATAATCTGATTGTACGTATCGTGTAGGAATCAGCAACGCTGCCTATCACCCGCATGACAAAACCTGTGGAAATATGACAATTAAATGTTATTTGATTCTTTTGTTCTTCATTTTCTTTCTAAATGAGGGTAATCTTTTGGGTTATTGGAAATTATGGAGAGTTTTAGTTTGAATAAAGTTTATATATTACTATGTTTTCTATTGGGTTCGAGTTCAACATTAGGATAGAAATTAGCGATCCCAACGAGAGGAAACTTTAAACTCGTTCAATTATTCATCATTCCGCAAACAGTGTTTTCGAGTTTGCTTTGTTGAATATAGAGTTTCCGTTGTTGGAAACTCCATTGATGAAAATATGTAAGAGTTTGATTGGTTCTATGTTGTTTCTAATGCTTATGGGTTGCCTTATTACAGGTGTTTGTTTGTTGGACATTAGTGAGATGTTAGATGTTACCGGTCTTATACCGAACTTGATTCTGTTCTTAGTTAGGTTGTGGAACATTGTCACTAATACTTTCCTTTTTAAGCAAAGTATCGTATTATTGCTTTAGCTGCTCCTGTTAAACGAGTCTCTCCTGTGCTTTATCTGTGTATTGTCGCTTCATCAATATGAGCTTCTTTGTGGAGTTTGTATCTTGGTATAAAGGTTTACCCTTAAAAGATAAGAGTAAATTCTTGGGATAGGTACCGTCTGAAACGATATTCCGTGTTCTTGTTTATTGTGTTTCGCCTGTGTGATGTATATATGTTGCAGTCTCGTTGTATCTTCTCCTTGTCTTCCGTTTTTACCAATCCCTGTGCTTTCTCCTCTTATCTTAAATAATTTCGGTATACCTGCAGATTCCCTCACTAACTTCATCAAATGGAGGAACAGAAATCTGCTGAAGCAGTGTCTCCTCCAGAAGATGTTTCTCATGAAGCTGCTACTACTGTAAACTCAGTTATTGTTGGTGGTGATGTTGGAACAGTAAAGCCCGAGTTGCAGGAATTAGCAGCTAAAGACTCTAAAACTCCCTCTACTTCACTTCCTCATAATGATGAAAACCTCAATGTGGAAGGTCCTGAAGGTGTTCATCAATGTCAAATTGACGGGTCTACTGGTAATGGAAAAGTGAAACAGGATGACAATTCTCTAATTCATGCAGAAACCACCCGGGATGATGCTGATGCTATAACAGTTGAAGAAGCTAGAAGTAGACAAACACATGATTCTCCTGGGCAAAAGCCCTCAGAACTTACGAGTTCTGTCATTGTTTCTCCGTCTGGTGAGATTGATCTGCCTCGTGTAAAGGTTACTGGTGTTGCTGCTGGCACAGCAAGAAATGGAGGGTCACCAAGAGCATTTTTGTCTCCAAGAAGCAATGGATCTCCCAGAGCTACTGTGTCTCCGAGATCCTCGGGATCACCAGCAAGTGCCAGGATGCCAAAAAATCTCGACTTTAGAGGTTTAATCGATACGGCTGCTCCCTTTGAATCTGTCAAAGAAGCTGTCTCAAAATTTGGGGGAATTACTGACTGGAAAGCCCACAGAATGCAAGCAGTAGAGGTGCGTGTTATTACTACTGTTTTGCCAAAGATTATACGCGTATGAATGAATATCTGAATTTTTCATGTTTTTATCTGGGACTTGATCCTGGGAATCTTGATCAAAATGATTTAATATGGTTTTGCAGAAACGCAAGCTTGTTGAACAAGAGCTCGAGAAGATTCAAGAGGAGATTCCAGAGTACAAAAAACAGTCCGAAGCCGCTGAGCTGGGAAAGCAGCAAGTTCTTAAGGAACTGGAAAACACAAAGAGGTTGGTAGAGGAGTTGAAGCTCAATCTGGAGAGGGCACAAACAGAAGAACAACAAGCAAAGCAGGACTCAGAACTGGCTAAGCTGAGGGTTGAAGAGATGGAACAAGGAATAGCTGATGAGGCTAGTGTTGCAGCTAAAGCACAGCTTGAAGTGGCCAAAGCCAGGCATACAGCCGCAATTTCAGAACTGCAATCTGTTAAGGAGGAGTTAGAGACACTGCACAAGGAATACGATGATCTGGTGAAAGAGAAAGATGAGGCTGTGAAGAAAGCCGAAGAAGCAGTGTCGAAGCTAAAGGAAGTTGAGAAGACGGTAGAAGGACTCACTATAGAGCTGATAGCTACAAAGGAGTCTCTCGAATCTGCACATGCTGCTCATTTGGAGGCGGAAGAACAAAGAATTGGAGCTGCCATGGCCCGAGACCAGGATACTCACCGCTGGGAGAAGGAACTAAAGCAGGCAGAAGAGGAAATCCAAAAACTTAGCCAGCAGATACTTTCGGCCAAGGATCTCGAATCAAAACTCGACACTGCTTCAGCTCTGCTCCTCGATTTGAAGGCTGAATTGGCAGCTTATATGGAATCGAAATTGACGGAGGAAGAGAGTGATCCAGTCACTAAAGGCGATGTCCCACCAGAAAACAAAACCCATACGGATATACAAGCGGCCGTTGCCTCTGCAAAGAAAGAACTCGAAGAAGTAAAAGTCAACATCGAGAAAGCAACCGCCGAAGTGAATTGCTTGAAGGTGGCTGCCTCGTCTTTGCAGTCGGAGCTCGAGAAAGAAAAGTCAGCTCTTACCTCAATCAAACAAAGAGAAGGAATGGCCTCCATAGCAGTTGCTTCTCTAGAATCAGAGATCGAGAGAACAAAGTCGGAAATAGCTTTGGTTCAGTCGAAGGAGAAAGAAGTCAAGGATAAAATGGTAGAGCTACCAAAGCAACTGCAACAGGCAGCCCAAGCGGCTGATGAAGCGAAATCGCTGGCTGAACTTGCACGTGAGGAACTGCGCAAGGCGAAAGAAGAAGCAGAGCAAGCAAAGGCTGGAGCAAGTACGATGGAGAGCAGATTATTCGCGGCACAAAAGGAGATAGAGGCAGCTAAAGCTTCGGAGAGGCTGGCCATGGCTGCCATCAAAGCTTTGCAAGAAAGTGAATCCACTTCAAACATTAATGATGTTGATTCGCCCAGAAGTGTAACACTTACATTAGAGGAGTACTATGAGCTTAGCAAACGTGCTCACGAGGCAGAAGAACAAGCCAATGAAAGGGTGGCGGCAGCGGTTCGTCAGATTGAGGAAGCTAAAAAAGCGGAAATGAGAAGCCTGGAGGAACTGGAAGAGGTGAACAGAGAGATGGCTGCAAGAAAGGAAGCACTTAAAGAAGCGATGGAAAAGTCAGAGAAGGCGAAAGAGGGTAAGTTGGGTGTTGAGCAAGAACTGAGAAAGTGGAGGGCCGAACACGAACAGAGAAGAAAGGCCAGTGAAAGCGGATTTAACACAGCGAAAACTCAAAGAGAAAGCATTGACTCAGAGCAAGCATCTGAGACAACAGTCCCTTATGTCTCCAGCCCTAATGATTCATATGGGACAGGAGGAGACAGTCATGAAGCTTCTTCACAAACCAAGACTGGAAAGAAAAAGAAGAAACTATCTTTCCCGAGGTTTTTCATGTTCTTGTCAAAGAAGAAGTCGGTTTCAAACAAGTGAGTTGATTCTGAATTTCAAAAAGGGGCATTCTGAAGAAAAACCCGTAAAAGGAGAGATCCCATATGATGAAGTATGTGTTGATTTTGAAAGGCTGTTGATTTCCTATGTGCATTGTGATCTGAGTGCCTTTTGTATTACAAGGGTGATGAGGAAATAAAACTGTCAACATACCCAAGAATAATGGTTATGAGATGTAGAGTAAATTTTTTTTTTACCTTTCTGTAAATCCAACACATGTTTTAGCTTGGTAAATGAAGTTTATATTGTTTGCAACATTTTTCAGCATCATCAAACAGGAGCTTGTATGTATGATTGAAGATTCTTCTGCATAAACACCCAAGCAATCATTACATTATAATCACCTTAAGAGTTAAGAGTCATGCCAAAACATCAACAAGTACCATTTGTCTGAATCAAACAACATACCAAAGAACCACAACATGTGTTACAAACTAGCTAGAACTGAAAATGTCAATGTAGAATCGAGTTGATCATCGCCTGCTGGATAAGCTGAAAGAGCTGACTTTCATGGGAGTTGCAATAACCAAAGGTGCCTCAGGTGAACCACTGATTGCGTATTTGTCATTCATGAAGCGACTGTCCACTATGGATTCGTCCCGGAGGACTACCTTGTAGCAGTAACATTTCTTCAGACCCTCCTGGTCCTGGTAGCATTCATGTGCCCCATTCTTCACTTGCTGAAAGTTCCATATCACACTGAATTTGCCAACAGTTGCCACCACATGTCGTTCTTGCTTTCCGTTCTCGGTCACCTAGACATTCAAGTTTTATCACAAGAATCCATGAGAATATATGCCCTAGAGTTGGAATCTTATGGTCTGTAATAAGAAGAAACAAGGCATTACAGAAGATGTAAATCACAAATCCCCAGTTTTGGCGCTAGTCTCAGCTGAAAGAAACTCGGGTTTCTGTTAAATGTTGCAACATGCTCTCGTACCGTTGTCGAACAAATTTATGTCAATGCAAAAGAAACTGATTTTGCAGCACAATGAAATATTACCATCCTGGAGATGTCCTTGGACAGAGAACATTAAAGGTCACATAATTTTGCAAGAACACATTTCAGCTAAAGAAAAACCTCTTCATCTAGATGGAAAAAGCTGGATAAAAGTAACCAGCCAAGTTAAAGGAAAGGCATCAAAGAGAGACATTTCATCAAAGACAGGCCTATCATCAAAACTATTCAGAATAACGGCATTAGACCACTTGGATTTCTGTTAAATTATAAATACAGGAACTATTCTGTTCGTCGTGCAGGAAATTCATAAACTTCTATACACAATTTTATGAGCTAAAGATCAAATATATGACCCAACAGCTATTTGGTAATCAAGCTTATTGCTAAAGCAGCACAGAAACAAAAATTGTAGAGGATTTGACTTACCCAAGAAAACTGAGCATTCCGGAACTTATTGCTAGTTCCAGCTAAATGTGAATCCAAAGGTCTTAGCTTTAACAACCTTGGAGCGGCGATTCTATTTCCCATGCGACCTGAGAAACCAGTCTTTGTTTTCCCATCCTTGTCAGTGAAAAGGGTGCATATGACAACCAAATACGTATCTGTCGAACCCACTATCCATTTACCGTCAAAAGTAACATCCACATGAGTTATTGGTGAACCAAGACCAGGGAAAGCTGTCTTTGCCTGTCTCATGGTATTGCTAGAGTACAGTCTAATCTTCCCATCAAGAGATCCAACAACAATGGAGCCATCTCCAGTGGTGGCAAAGCACTGGAAGTTAGTGCCTCTTGAAAATTGATGCCCTTGTGTCCAATTCAAGACAGGAGCACTAGCAGTAGCAAGATTCTGAACCATCCCTTGTCGATCACGCATATCCCACCTGCAAAGCCTATTATCATCCAAACCAAGAAACGTTGATCCGGATGGATCCAATTGGGATCCTTTGCTATCATTAGTAATATCTCTCATAGAGATATCAACTCCATCCTTCCCAAACTTCCATTCCGAAACAATCTTCCCAGTTTCAATGTCAAGTTGATGGATTCCAGTTGAATGAGGTTTGGCTTCATTCATGGGACTCATAAGCAGCATGTTTGTCTCAGCTTTCATAAGAAGAGCCTTCTTTGGGGTAGAATGGGCGACATTTCTGGCACTTCGACTATACCCGGCATCAAAATTAACACAAATTCCTTTCCCTTGAATTCCATGCCTAAGATTCTTGAAAACCTGAATACCAGAATCTCCAACCAGAAAGCTATTATCTAAGGCACCTAAAGCTAAGCTCTGAATGCCATCACTGGCCGCCTCCTCAAAGGCCTCTGTCAGATCCTGCGTTTCCCTCAATGGTGTTGCCGACTCAGGACTTTTAAGCAAAACATCATCAGCATCTTCCCACATAGAATCATCAGCAGCCTCAGGATTTGCCCACGCTATGAAATCTTTACCGTAAATTTTAGCCGTATTGGCCTCATTCAGCTCAACACCGTAATTGTTCTCAAACAAGCAATCGTTATACTTACTCACAAAAGCAGTATAATCTTCAATGCTGGGAAACTTCAACGCCCAAACAGCTTTAGCAACGAAATCAACACGGCGTTGATCTTTATAAGTCTTCAACTGCATATCCTCTGAAACCTTTCCCCGGATCTTGTTCCCGACTTTCAAAACCCACCACCCCTTTTCCAAGTCGTCTTCGTCTTCATCATGATCATCTTCTTCCCCATCGATTTTGGAGGTCTTGACGAAAGAATAAGCAGTCAGCTTCTCTGCCGTGACCCATTTGGCTTTGGGAGTGTTACCATTGATGTAGCGGAAAAGTCGAACAGCATTCTGCGAAGACGGGGCTTGGTTCGATGATGGGTATTTGAGTTTCAGGGCTTTCAGCTTCGCCTCCACATCGTCAATCGATGAAGGAGATTTGGGTCGACGACGACGACCAACTGAGGAAGATTTGTCAGGTGTAGCGCCTCTTGCATCCTCGAACGTATCTTCCTCATCTTCTTCTTCGCTTTCGTCTTCATATTCCTCGTCTGACTCCCAGATTTCCTTATCTTCCCGACTGTGGGAGCCCCCCATTTCTACTGACAGAGAGAGAGAGAGATCTTGAGCGTGCACGATCGAGGTTCAAATGGGGGAGGGAAAATGCGGAAGAAAAGGAGAGCAAAGTTCGAAATTTGAAAATTAGGGATTCGAATAATGTGCTGTACTGTACTGGTAGATTGGTGGGTAACCGGCTACATTCGGTCGTGTCTACTGCACTATCTTTGCTAACGTTTCGATTACCGGCTACAGCCGGTAAATCCCAAGAATATTCGGTGATTGGGAATTTGGTCTCTCAAGTGAATGTGAACCCTTCTTTCGTACTGTAACCACCTTAGAGCAGAACGCGACTTTTTGTCTTTTTTGTTTTTATTTTTTCAACCAAAACAAACTTCTTATATATTAGATAAAACTTAAATACATAGGTTATCCAAATCTGTATTCCAATGTTTAAAGATGCTAAAAAATTAAAATTTGATTTTATATCCATATATTTTGATTATAATTTTTTTTTTAAAAAAGAACAAAAGATAACATAATCAACACATAAAAGTCAATAAACAAAAAATAAAAACTCTTGGTTTTGAACTCTTTTGATTGAATAGTTCTTTTTTTTCTTTCTATTTTCTTAAGAATAATTTTTGATACAACTATGCAATTATAAAACTAATAAACCTAAAAATATTTAAAAAGTTATTTACATCTTTCTTTTGGATTTTTAGAATTTCTTGACAGTGTAGATAATTATTTTTCAAAATATGGTATTTTTAATCTTACCTTTTTTTCTCCTCACGCGAAAACTCTTTTCTTATCATTTCGTTCATTCTACTCGTCCAGTGAACTCCTTTGCCGCCGGCGACCTCCGGTGAGTACTTTCCAGTTTTCTACGTCGTCTCTTTCCTTTGTTTTGTCTCTGGTTCTGTCGGATTTCTGTTTGCTCATGTCGGACGAAGAAATCCCAGTTCTCTTTCTCTGGTAGTTCTTCTGTTCATTTTGTGTTCTTCTGTAAAGGTATAAGACCACGGACTTTGTTCCCTCCGGCGGATTTTTGGGTAAAATTTTAAATATTTATGTATTGGGTAGGATTAATTTTGATTACTGATGATTTTTTAAGCTTGTGTTGGATGAATTCCGTCGAAGTATTCATCCAATCGCTCGTAGTTACACACCCTTTCTGTATGTTAAAGCATAAAACCTTGTGACATTGTTTGTGGGTCAGTCGAAAATCATGTGATCAAAGCGTTTTGTTGCCAAAGAAGATTTTCTGTTTTCTTAAAGGTTTGGGAAGTGAAAGTTGCATCCTCTCCGTTAGCCATTTGTGGATCATATTAAGGATAACGCTCGTAACACATCTCTTTGTTTCCTTTGGTTTGAGTTCATCTGATGTTTGTTTTCGTGTTAGATTTTGCAACTTAACTAGTTGCTTGATCGGTACCTTAAAACATAGTAATTAGTTCATTTGCTATGTGTGTCGTCAATCAAGGTTTAGGATATTAGGGTAATAAGAAAAACATCTCACCATTTCCAACTTCAAGTGAAGTTAACTGTCAGGGAACATTTTGTTGTCTGCCAAGTTTAAGCTTTTCTCCATTTTGGTGGTTCTTTCTTTTTTGAATTTGATGGGAGAACTTTTTAGCCATTTGCTGTTTCATCTACTATGTGTAATAATCAAGTTTAAGCTTTTCTTTTTTGTTATCAGCACAGGTTTTTCTCCGAACCGTGATACCTTAGAGATCCAACCGGCCAATGAAAACCCTTCTGCCTTCTTCGTCGGAATCCATGGCTTCTCCAGTGACACCCACTTCAGTTTCCAAGCTCTTTCACTTTATCCGACATCATCCGCGCTCATATGTCCCTGTTCCATCTGATAGTTACAGACAAAGACTTCTCAGCATGTCATGCTCATCATCGTCACCTACAACTATTTCGGGCAACCAGTCGCCTCCAGTGGTGATAAAGAGGAAGAGGACAAGGTATCGGAAGCAATACCCAGGAGAGAGTGTGGGCATAACGGAGGAAATGAGGTTCGTTGCCCTGAGATTACGCAATGTCAATGGCAAGAAGTGTGAATCCAATGACGAAACCGAGAGTGAGAAGGAAGAAGATGAACAATCAGATGGGGAGGGAAGTGGGTATTCGCAGAACAAGGATGAAGAGACTTGGAAGCCGAGCAAAGAAGGGTTGCTTAAATACTTGGTTGACAGCAAGCTTGTCTTTGATACCATCGAGCGAATTATCGAGGAATCCGAGGATGTTTCCTGTAAGAACTTTTATGTTATGTCTAGTTATATCTGCTCTTCACTGTTTTAGCTTACTTGTTGCATATCACGAGAATTGTTTCTCTTTTCCAAACTCGAGATTAGATCAGGTGAATACTGTCTGAGTACACATGGTGAATACTATCTGATCTGGTTTGTGGGTTCAGAATCCAACATGAATCATGCTGTTTGGTAAATTTGCAGATGCTTACTTCAGGAGAACAGGATTAGAGCGATCACGAAACATCGAGAATGATCTGATGTGGTTTAAAGAACAGGGATATGCAATTCCAGAACCGAGCAATCCAGGAGTTTCATATGCCAAGTATTTGAAAGAACGGGCCGATCAAAATGCCCCTCTTTTCCTTTCTCATTTCTACAACATATATTTCTCGCATGTTGCTGGCGGTCAAGTTATAGTTAGACAGGTAAAGTTTTTCATATGATGTTCAAGCTTCTTTTGTGATGCATGTCGCATTCATGTGACCGAGTTTCTGATTCGCGTTCAGGTCTCGGAGAAGCTTCTGGAAGGCAAGGAGCTGGAATTCACGAGGTGGGAAGACAATACAGAGGAGTTGCTGAGAGGAGTCCGTGAAAAGCTCAACACGCTCGGAGAGGTGAGGGTTTTCGATATTTTAAACTCATGGGTTGATTTCTTCCTCGACGCTTCTTATCATCTGCTGTAATGTTTTGGGGAATGAAGCATTGGTCTCGGGACGAGAAGAACAAATGCTTGAAGGAAACAGCAAAGGCATTTAAGTATATGGGGCAGATAGTTCGGTTGATCGTCCTATAAAAAAACCTGCTTCTGTTCTCTGAGCTGTCTTCTTCAGTTTGGTAATAAAAACCATTTCATTAGCAGACCTATTCTTTTTCCGGCATCAAGTATCGTAAATTTCCCGACTTTTCTTCCTCAGATTGCATGCATGATACGCACCATACACAAATGACAAAGTAACCATGACTGACCCATAGAGACGATGATATTATTCGAAATCATGTGTATATATATATATATATATATATACACATTTTTAGTACGGCCGTTCGCCGTTAAAGTTGCAAGCGACGAACGTTCCACGGCCATCGTTGCACCTCACGGCATCGGCTCTCGACATGTCGAAGGGATGCTGCTCCAGGCGAGGTTCTCGCCGTAGGGCCCACTCGAGTGGACGAGACGGCAGTCCCCTTTCTGCCGGTTCGCATAGTTCCTCGTGTAGGTGGCCACCCTCTCGTCCCACCGTATGGGACCCACCGCGACCTCGGCTCGTGGCGAGTCGTGGGCCTTCGAGGGAGCCACTACGGCAAGGACTAAGGGGATTTTTTTTTGAGGAGGACAAACACTTGGGTAAAGTTTTGTCCGAAAATAATATTGGATTTTTTTTTTTTTGTATTCTTATTACGTTTGCGAGAGAGCCATAAATTACTGTGATTTTTCTTTTAATGAGAGTAAAGAATAATAATTTCATTTACAAAGAGTAAGGGGATTATTTTATTTTGGGTTTTTGGGTTTAGTTTTTGGATTTTAGTTTTTAGTTTTTATTTTTTGGTTTTTGAATTATATAATATTTGTAAACCAAAAATGTAGTTTTTTTTATTTTTTTATTGATTTTTAAAATGATTTTTCAAGTTTTTATAAAAAATAATTTTATAAAAACTTGAATGGAAGTTTTTTTTTGGTTTTTAGATTTTAAAAAACTATAAAAACTCCAACTATTAAATGTTTAAATCTTTCGACGACGGAGAGAAAAAAGACGTTACGATATCTCGTTCATGCTCTTATTTGTTTAACATTTCGGTCAAATTATATTTAAATGTAGTCCTACAATATATGTAATAGCCATCGAGACTTTTCATCTTTATTAAGTCATTATCATGTTAGGTCCAATTAGAAAAATGTTTATCAAACGATGAAAAATCATCTATGGTTGATAAATAAATATTAGCTGCATGAATATCGTTTACTAAAAAGACTAAGACGACTGGCCCACTAATTTAGATGTTCGCTCCGACAAGCGTTTGATCAATATGTATAATTTAGTATGAGCTAAAAAAATTATTAGAAATTAGCAAAAAAAAATGTAAATAATAATCAGCCAATTGCTTTAAATTTCAGAACATTGTAATAATGAGATAATCAATTAATCAAATATTACAAAACGTGAATAACAAATTAAAGGAATAACCCCAATTTTGATATATGCTTCAATACGATTGGGTTGGAGCATGTTCAATTTCAGATGATGGCATTGTCATTTTGATATGATCAAAGATTACAAAACGAGAATAACAAAGAAAGAAAGCTAGAGAATATATATACACTTGAACACGATTGGATGGATAACTTTGTTCTACAAAATCGCCGAAATGAAATAAAATCTAAAACCCTAACCAAATAATTGGATCTTTTTTTATGGTAATCAAAGTAAACATAAAATGTATTCGAATCTAAAATCCAACACCAAGACTCGTAAGGGTTGAAATAGAAAAAAAAGATATTAATATGATTAAGTGATTATATGGAGATTAGATGTGATTGATAATTAATAATTAAAGATATAATATCAGTTAAGAACAAGATATTGATTATATCAATTATGTTGTTATCTTATTTGTGTCATTAGTATCTTTTTTTTAATTAATTTTAATAATTTCTCTAGTATGAACTATTTTCATTGTAATTCAAGAAGATGGGTGTAGAAATAAAATGACAATGTTCTAATATTTTTCTGTTTTTTTATTTATTATTTAATTTCTGTATTATAATTTTAAAGAGTGTGTACCATTTTCTAACATATTATTCATACACGAGCATATTCGATACAAAGCTTATCCATAGATGACGATGACAAGCATTATTCAAGCATTATTCTATTACATATATAACATCATATTTCATATCTTAGTAGGGCTTTTGTCCAACGTAGTTGCCGGGAGGATCATAGTTGCACGTGATGAAAGTCCCGCCACTGTTGCACCTCACTTTAGCACACCCAATCCTAACAGTGTTTCTCCACACCACTTGAGTGTAATGTCCACACACTTTCCCGGGCCGACACGTGTTGGAATTGTAGTCGTAGTCGACCTTCTCGTTCACCCACAGGGCCACGGCATCGACCCCGGTCAATCCACCGGTGCTCATGGCCAGATTCTCACCGTACCGACCGCCACCGCCCGAGTGGATGAGCCTGCAGTCCCCGGCTCGCTGCCTGGCATAGTTCTGGGCAAAGGCTGCAACTGTGTTGTCCCACGAGACGGGGCCAACGCCGACCTCGGCCCGGGCCCTGTTGTGGGCATTGACGTAGTCTTGTGGTGAGTCTTGGGCTTGGAGGGTTTGAGCCATGACTAGGGCAAGTAGTGCCATGATTAGGGTTCCGGAAAACTTGGGGAATATCATTTTTTTTTTTATTTTGTGTTTCGATGGTGATGAGATAAAGGCCTTGCATGGAACGTCTATTTATAGGGAGGGGATCTGGAAATTTCAAGTCTAAGAGCCTTTGAATGTTCAACTAATTGCAATGCAGTTTAATAACCATCTTCTGCATCAAGGCTTTGTATATATGCATATTTGAACGTTTCCTATGAGTAACATCTGCATACATCTCTTTCTCTCTCTATATATATATACATGCATATGTATCTTTACATATATGCATATGTGTGTGTATATATATATCTATTGATGGCTCTTTTGAAACTAATAATAAAAATTTCCACAACTACCGTTTGCTTGGAAGCAAATTCGTGTATTTGTTCTAATATATTTCAGAAATATTGGAATTAAAATAATAATAATAATAATAATGAATATAGATGCCAGTGTAATAGAATGGCTTTTTTTTTACTAAGAACAACCACTAAATATATTTTTTTTATAATTCAAAAATTTATCCGTACTTTCCATTCAACTATATCTTCCACATGTTCCGAAAAATCTATGTGAATATTCCTCCTAAAATGGAGACTCGATCTTTTATTACCATATATAATTTGGTTTGGATTCGAGTTTGGCTAATCATGTTAATATTAGGGTTTGGGAAATCTTGGGGAATAATATTTTCTTCTGCTTTTTATTTTTATTTATTTTGTTTTGGTGTTTTGAGGATGCAAGTGATTTTTCTTTTTCTTTTTAGTTTCCAATCAGAATTTCCACAGCATATATATATATATATGTCGTGTACGTATTTATAGGGAAAGCAGCCGATAGATCTCTATGGGGAAAAAAATGAATTTTCAGCGTCCACAACAATTTTACTCCATAATTGGATATGGAGATATCTATGTCATTTATAATTATAGAAAAAGATAATGATCAGTTGTAACTTTTGTGTGAATAATTTCTTCGACCTTTATTAATTCATATGCCAGGGTCCATGCAAGATTTTGGACCTCATAGATTATTGATAGGAAAATATCGTACCAATATGTATCAAGCAGCCTCCTCTACCAAGCGGCCAAAACATTATGCACATTATATTTAATTATAAGACACGATTAAAATGCTGTAACTATTTTTCGTCATCTCTTAGTTTTCGATTTCATGTAACGTCGTTATAGCCATCGAGACATTTCTTATTTAGGTCGTTATCATGTTAGGCCCAATCAGTACAAAATTTTATTAAAAAATATGATGACAATGAAAAATCTAAAACCCTAATAAAATAAAAACATAATTCGATCATATCCCTGGTTTTGTTAATCAAAGCGCACCTAAATGTATTAGAATGTGAAATTCACGCGTACCATTAATTTCTCACATATTATTCATGCACGAGCATATTCGATATATATTATGTACGTACAAAGCTTATCCCCGGATGATGACAAGAACGATTCAAACATTATCATATTACATAACATCATATTTTTCATATCTTAACCGTAAACATATTTAATTTATTGATTCAGATTGGTATTCGTCTTCAAAAATTTATCGGTACAAATTATATTTTAGAAATTTATTTTCTGATAGTGAAAATACAATTTACTACAAAAAGTACGTTCCATTATACAGAGATACTGGGGAAAATACGTTTTTAATTCGAAACAAAAAATAAAGAATTGAAGAACACGCGTGCCGAGGAATACATACGTGTGTATATTCATGTTTGAATGTTTCCTAAGTATATATACGTACGTATATAATATATATATATATATGTATGTATCTTTACATATAATTAGCATGTCTCTCTCTCTCCCTATATATATATATATATATTTATATCTACTAAGGGCTCTTTTGAAACTAAGAATAAAATTTTCCACAAGCACGGTGGAATTTCTATCCATTTTATGTTTTGTCAAAATCTCAGCCTCATTTTCCATTCTATCAATAGACATGTATATGCTATTGTTGGTTAATTACACGCTTCCTAAACGTGTAATTATGACGTTTAATTATAATTTTTATATATTATTCAGCGAATTATTACATCACCTTTGAATTGTCTATATATAAAAGAGATCTGCCGAATATAGGGATAGACAAAACCTTAACGCAACAAAACACATGTTAGATATTAATGTCAATTGTTACAATTAATAAAATACAATCGAAGGCGATAAATCATAAATCTAAAATGTAAATTGTTTTTTAAGAAATGAATCGTTGGTCCATAACGGAATTGTAATAGTCGAAATTATATCATTCTAGCTAGATCAACGACAATTTGGTAAGTGGCAGAATAATTGAAACGAACATAATTTTAACCGAATCGAATACGGTATAAAAATTGAATGATTACGATTATTATAAAACCGAAAGTTGAATCCAAACCGAATATAACCGAATAGAAAAATAAAAGAAAAATTGAAATTTTATTTTTTTAAAAAATATTTTTATTAATAAAAATCAAATCCGAATCAAAATAGAACCGGATTGAATCCAAAGGGAAATCCTAAATGGCTCTATCCAACAATTTTCTTATATAAACGAACAAAACTACACCTTTAGAAAAATGACGATTTTGCCTTCCAATACGTTTCATGGGACAACCAAGAATGACGTCGTTTCATTCTTCTCCAAACCCTCCGATTCGTCCAGTGTCTCCGAGGCCTCTCCTCGAGGCCGAAACTTCCCTTGCTCTCTCTAACCGGCAGACACTTGAACTTCTACTGTTCGAGAATTAATTTCCGCATTGATCAATATGCCCTTGAAATCGATTTGTAAATAAGTTTATATACGTATATGATGTGACAGTTAACTTTAGTATAAAAAAAACATAAATTCTGATTTTAAATAAAAAATTGTAATAACTTTAGTATAAAAAGGCAGAAATTCACCCACATATCTGTGGTCGAGTGGTATCTGGATTAGATGTGAGGGTGTTTCTCCTCCAGATCAGGGGTTCGAATCCAGGCATGCAGTGAGGGAGAGGTATAGCCAAAGACTGTGTGTTCAAAAGTTGCTCCCGAACCAGAGAGATATAAGTTGGGTCAAAGGCGCAGGTGAACTTCCCGGTTTGACAAAAAAAAAAAGGCAGAAATTCTGAGAACGTGATCATGCAAATTGGAGATAGCGACAATAATTATACAATGATTGAATTCAAAGCCGAGATATGATAATCGTTGTTGCCAAACAGAGGGAAGTCGCTGTCACGCCTCTCCGACGTCACAGCTGTTTTCGTACGCAAAATTGGGGCCTAATTGTCTGTCCAATTAATGGACCGTCTACTACTTTTTTTGTATATATATTTCTTTTATAAGCCAAAAATTAAATAGTTTAACGAATTTCTTGCATCGTGACAGCATGTGATTCGTACAAATTATTTCAATAATCGCTGTGTTGCTTGTAACGTGAAAACTTTGCCAATAGTTTTAATAATTCTTCCATATGTGTGATTTGGTGCGCTTTCCACTTTATTCTATATATATGTAAACATATACTCCGATATTTCTGCATATAAATAGGAGTATATACTGATTTTTTTTTTTGTATATTCGAGATGAAATTCTATCAGATTAAAATTGTGCAAAATAAACAAAAAAATACCGTACATATATTGAATAATGTTTTATATAGTATATTATCATAATGATAATAATAACTGATTCTAACATTCAAATATTATAAATTTATAATGCTACATCCGAACATATTAACTCATTCATTATTTTACGTATTATATTTAACCTCATGAAAAATTGATTGCCATTCACCCTACGAGCATGTATGAATATATTGATACCGTTACATAAATATTTCTTGTAATAACTTACAAGGTTTATGAGATGTATATAAAACAAACAACTTTTTTTTTGGAAATATTTAAATACAAACTACATTTTTAATCTAAATTATTTTCATCTCTCAACTTTTTTGTTTTCTATTTAAGTAACTAAACCACAAATTTTTATTATTTTAAAAAACAATTTTGCTTTATAGATTCATCCTACTTTGATGTTATACCAAAATCAACACATTCAAATTACATTTATATAATTAAATAAGTTTTTTTTTACGAAGCATGACATGTAAAACACAAAATCGATAAATCATCAAAAAATATTTGAATTTCAAATTTGCATCTACTCAAAAACAATATATAAACAAAATATAGATTAATAATTGCGAAATTTTCACAAGTGGACCATAATAGAACAAGACAACTTATGAAAGGCATGATGCAGGATTTGCTGACATGAAAGTTGCTAATTACAATTAATTTATTTTATGTTATAAACAGAAACGTTTGATATGGCAGTTTAAAAAATAATTAATTAAATTAAAAGCATCTAAAAAGGGAGTTTAATGAGTGAATCGAATCAGGAATCTCTCGCTGTCGAGTAGCAAAGCATTGTATCATTACCGTATCATATCATAAAGCCACATGAAATGATAAAAATACCCTCCTTGAGTAGCAGACCTCGCTTCAACACAGGGGTGTTATAGTCATTTCGATGGTAAACAGCTTTCTGAAAATGACTCGAGCGGCCTTCACCATCACCGGGGACTGTATATGAACACGATCCCACCGCATGTGCGTTCTTTATTATTTTTTTTTATCGTCTCGCTCGTTCTCGGTTCAATTTCTTGGTTGTCGTTGATGTGTTTGTGTACGTAATCTGTCAAAAACATGCTCTATCAGGAACTTCGGAGCTTGCCCATCTGATTTCTTCTGCTGTTTTGTTCTTTTTGGTTATATTCTCCCCGAAAAGCAGGCTTTTTTTTTTGTCTGGCAGTGGTTCCGTGTCGGTTCGATTGCTTTGTCCGAGCCGGGAAATCTCCGTTTTCCTGTAACCTTTCGACGTCTCTACATTCGAATCGCTTTAATTGACTTTGATTCCGAGCAGTTTCCATTTTCGTTGGAGAGGACCGTCTCTTTTCCGCATTCTGTCCGGGATACTGTTCCTGATAAATTTGCGGGAATTGAAGAATATGTCTTGTCTTTGACCTAGGGTTAAGAGTTTCTGATTTCTGGGTTATTCTCTTTGGGGGTGTTTGAAGACGGGTTTTCAATGGCGGTGGAGTACGAATGCTGCGGGACTGAGTTCTTCATACACATACTCGTGATAGTGTTGCTTGTTCTGTTCGCTGGTTTGATGTCTGGTCTGACGCTGGGTCTTATGTCCATGAGTCTTGTTGATCTTGAGGTTCTTGCCAAATCTGGAACACCCAGAGATCGTGAACATGCTGGTAAAGTTTGAATTTTTTTTTTCGTTTATTTTGTTCCTTTTTGTCCCCATCTTTTATGCTCCTTTTTGTAGTTTGATTATGATACTTCTATTGATAAAGCATGTAGTTTGCACGTTTTTTTGCCTTTTGATATTCTTTTTGAAGAATTTGATTCTTCAGCCACCTGAAAATTCGATTTGTTAACACGGCTTGTGTAGTATCTTCGAGCATATATGTCTCATGTATAGTTACAAGGCACATGTTCGAGGTATTTTTCAACCCACATACTTCCAAAATCTTCAGGACATCAATCTGACACAAACATGTTGATGTTTACTGTAATCCTATGTACTGTGTTTATGGTGTTTGGATTGGCTATATTGTATATGCTGACAAGAACATTTGCATACTTTTCTAAAGCTGAATCTCCAAATTGGTTATCAGATAAATGGGTTCTGCAAAACACATAACTTCCCTTAAGTCGGTGCCTTTTGCTGATGTTTGATGGTATTTTAGTTTAAAAATCTTGATGCTATTATCAGCTTTCTGTGTATAAGTCAAGACCCATGATTTGGATTTCTTTATGGTGTGGCTTCCTACTTCTTGCTTGCATGATATGGTCAGAATTGTGTTTGGTTGTTTTGCAGCCAAGATATTACCAGTTGTAAAAAACCAGCATCTGCTGCTTTGCACCTTACTTATATGCAATGCAGCTGCTATGGAGGTAAATCTTGGGACTTGTTAGTGACTTGCTGTCTTTGTACGGCTTCAGACATAGTGCTTAATGATTGTAATGGTTTTTCCTTACATTACAGACGCTTCCTATTTTTCTTGATGCTCTTGTCACGGCATGGGGTGCTATTCTGATTTCAGTTACATTGATTCTTCTATTTGGTGAGGTAAGTCTATCTTTGCTTTCAGTCACTTGCATTCATCTACTTTGCATATGTTTCAAGAAGACTATGTTCACAGTTGACTTAATACTTTCTGCAGATTATACCGCAGTCAGTTTGTTCCCGTCATGGTTTGGCCATCGGTGCAACAGTGGCACCATTTGTCCGTGTTCTTGTCTGGATCTGCTTTCCGGTTGCATGGCCAATTAGCAAGGTGGGTCTTGTTGTATCTCTTATTTCGAATTGCAAAATTCTTTGCAAGGGACCAAGAACTTGTGCTCTGGCCAAAACTTTCTGCCTTCTGATGAACATTTCCGCTGTGTTTGTTTGTGCTCAACATTTTCCAGCTGCTCGACTTTCTTCTGGGTCATGGACGTGTAGCCCTCTTCCGGAGAGCTGAGCTGAAAACGCTTGTGAATTTGCATGGGAACGAAGTATGTCTTGTATTTCTCGGGTATTTCAATATTTGAGGCATATATTACTCCCGTGTCTTTTTTGTTTATCTATAGGCTCATATCTCTTGCTACAGGACGTATACTGCAAATCTGTTTCGTTCTATTTTGTCATTAAAAATGTGAAGTTTCTTCTAATGCTTCATATCTGAATAACCCATCACTTCTCATCTCTTTCAGGCTGGAAAGGGCGGAGAGTTGACTCACGATGAGACAACAATCATTGCTGGGGCTCTTGAGCTATCTGGGAAAATGGCTAAAGACGCAATGACACCGATCTCTGATACATTTGCGATTGATATAAATTTCAAACTCGACAGGTCTTGGTTTGGCTATTCTTCTGAAAACCATTATATCAAAAAATGCTCATTTGAGGATTAATTTCTTCAAAGATGGTCATGTCAAACTTACCGTATCTTGGGTTTCTTTGCATTTTTCTACAGGGATTTGATGAACTTGATTCTAGAGAAAGGGCATAGCAGAATTCCAGTTTATTATGAGCAACCAACTAACATAATTGGACTTGTTCTGGTAGAATCTTCTCTCCAGCTTTGGGTTTCTTGTTTTGTTCATGTCTTAGACATTGCCTATCAGTTCTCAGTTGTATTTCATCCTTTTGGATTCGGTCGTTCTTGATTTTATCTTCAGGTGAAGAATTTATTGTCTATCAACCCAGATGAAGAAATCCGTGTAAAAAACATCACCATACGAAGGATTCCAAGGTATCTTTTCACCGGTTAAAGCTTGATTTCTGAATCTAGAGACAATAAGATCGGTTGAATGTTCTTTCTTCATCGCAGCTTATGCCTCGTTCATTCTTTTGTTCCTCTAGAGTTCCGGAAACTTTACCGTTGTATGACATATTGAATGAGTTCCAGAAAGGACACAGCCACATGGCTGTGGTTGTGAGACAGTGCGACAAAGTCCATCCATTACCAAGCAATGATTCTGTCGCTGGTAAGCTGTGTTCTGTCACTGGGTGAGCATAACATATTTAATAAAGATCACATCTTTTGTGATGGGTGAATGTTTATGTAGAGCCGGTAGTAGTAAAGGAAGTCCGAGTAGATGTCGATAACGAGAAAACCCATCAAGAGAGGATGTTAAAGACGAAGAGGTCGCTGCAGAAGTGGAAGAGCTTTCCCAACCGGGCGAATTCGTTCAAGCAAGGGTCGAGGAGCAAGAAGTGGTCAAAGGATAACGACGCTGACATTCTGAATCTGAACGGGAATCGGCTGCCGAAACTAGCAGAAGAGGAAGAAGCTGTCGGAATCATTACAATGGAGGATGTCATCGAAGAACTTCTTCAGGTAAGCCTCACGATGGATCCACCCGTCTTTCACTTCTTTTTTCTGGTAAGTTCGTCGGTATTTACTTGCACTGCCGTGTGTTGTGGGTTGCAGGAAGAGATATTTGATGAGACGGATCACCATTTTGAAGACTCGTAAGAGGGAACCTTTCAAATGCCAAATCTTTAATAGCTTAGGCAAAGAAGCGGACAAGCAAGAGGACCGATGTACGTCTTTTGTCTGAAGTGGATAATATCTCCGGCAAATGTATCAAACTCCATCCGTTAAATCAACGAAAATCTCCACATCTCATAATACCATTTCCTCCATTCATTCCTGGTCTTTCCTTCTTCGTTAGTGGAGGAGACATGTCTGGCTCTTTTGTAATTTTAAGGAAGGTCAAGGGCTAAAAACGACCGAACCGGGGAAAACAGTACAGGGTAACCGAATAATTTTGGGTATCCGAACTCATATGCGTAAGTTTCGGATATCATAATTGAATATTTAATAATATTAAAAAATAGACATAACAAAAAAAATTATGCTACTAATAATGGGTTTGAATATTTAAAAAATTCGTGTATTCGAGAGAAGATAAAAAAAAATATATTAAAAATTAATAGGATATATATATATGTATATATAATATTGTATATGGTTCTTCTTGGATATACGCATCAATTTTCAATGACCGCATTCGCATCCGTGCTCTCTGTTCTGTATCTATGAAACTGCTTGGAACTATTCTCTGATACGAGATTCAGGTTTCCAGACACGTAATTTCTCCATTAAAAAATTAGAGAAACGCCGCCGCGATCCGACCTGCAAGATCCAAGTCGTAATCTTGTCCGAAGCTCTGTTGGTATCATTTGCTAAATTCGATACAGAATCAAATCAAACAAGATCATACGTATCCTGAGGCCGACGCTGCTGTGTGGAACAATGAGAATTAGGGTTCATGATTTTGTAACATAAACACGAGAGTTGAATCACAGATATGCTCAGAGTTGCGTGGGAGATCTAGCAACCTCGTCGTCCATGGTGTATCCATGAACGAAGAAATCGGAGCAGTTTCTCCGGCATCCATGGTTATAAGGGTTGTGAAACCGACCATCTTGACCTCGCAAGTAACTATACCTCCTCTTGTTTGACATCTCGTTCGTTGTTATGTTCCGAGCTACCTGCATTTTTTTGCCCGAAAACAAAAGAGGAAAAAAAAAAGTTATGTCGGTTTATAGTATGGTCGCTTTCTTTGGAAAAGGCCCGAAAATGGCAGTAAGTCACCTGATAGGTCTGTAGAATCGTCAATGTTGTAGCAGCCATGAAAATGACAGAGTCGAAGAAGAGAAAGACGATAACCCCGGGATGTTTGAAAGCAATATGGTGAATCCATGACTCTCCTGCTCGTACCGATGGAATTCCTGTCCATATTCCTGTCGCAATAGCAAACGGTGTTAATACCATTCATTCATTCATCAATCCCCAAATTGCCATGGGCTTGAAATACATTCTGAGAGTCTGGTTTTTTTTCTTTCTATAACATACTTTGAAGAGCGATCGAGCCACCAACGGAGGATGTCAAAGCTCCCATCAGCACAAATACCAAGAAGTCGCGTTTATTCCTCTACAAGAAGAGTAATAATAAGATTCACCTCTATAAAATGAGAATAAAAGCTCTGATACCATCTCAAATCCAAACCGGAATGTGTTTGGCAGAAGAGAAAAACCGAGAAAATGAAGCAGAGGAGTTTGTTAAATTTATGCTACTCATTCAACAATGCAAGTGTACATCCTTAATAGGCTTACAACATATACACTCGTTTGTACAACCATATACAAGCTATACAATTCATTTTATAAGTAATAAACAGATAAAATGAGAACAAGAATGTAATAACAACGTCATGACATGGTGTAAAATAGAGGGGGCCGTATTTCTTACCTTACCGACACAGTTGGAAATCCAGGGGCAGTGATGGTCGAACTGCTCAACGCAGCGTTTGCAGGTAGGACAGTGCTTAGAACGAACTGGTCGAATTATCTGAATAGAATGTGAAAAAGGTAATTAGCAAACAGATCTAATGTCAGCAAAAAAAACTAGAAACCCATCATGAATTGCGACTTATTTTGCCCGAGAAAGGAATGGGTCCTAGCCTTGCAAGTCGGGCAGAGCTGAGACCAAGTTCCTGTCCAGGACAAGCTGTTCAAATCGATACTCATCAACGGATCCTGTGAAATATCAAAAGATAATCATGTGAACAGAAACATAATAGCAAAAAAATGAATGGCTTCAGCATAAAACCTACATTGTTAAATTAATTTTTACTTTTCATGCACCCTGTTAAAATCGACAAGTTTGACCTGATTCAACAGAAAAGCCTTAATGAACAGAACATGATTCAGGATATGAATATGTAAACATTAAACGGAACTCCATTACGATACAGTTGACTTGTTCAGTACAACAATATATCTAAACAAGTATGTGCTTTGCAATGGTTAAACATACATTGGCATCTTGATGTCCATTAAGTTCATCAGCTCTTTTTACATAACCTGGATCCTTGCTGCACATAAGAGACAGCTAATTAATCACACTCCAAGAACAAGACACAACATACACATGCCCTACACACACTACAAAAGTACATGAACTAACAAGCATCAGTTTCACCGTTGCGCTTGTCTTAACGAAGAATTTATACAGAACAAACTCTTTTAAGAAATATTACAATTTTAAACCAGTATAACATTATCAGAGAACATGATACCTGCTACACCGATATAACATTATCAGAGAACAAAAACCAAGGGTAAGACCAATCCATGCCCACAGTCCAACAGTGGCAGTCACCTTTGGGAAATCAGGAGCTACATCGATTGTAAGATATCAGCATGAATAAACAATCCACAGATAAAATTACTTTAATGATTTCCTTGCATGAACTTTTCACCTGTAATTACTGATATGATGAAGAGAACCATAAGAACTACTATTAAGCAAAACAAAATTGGAGCATAGCCTTTATCTCCCAGCTTTCCACGTATCATCTTGTCCACACGATTACTATGAGTTTGCGTTGCCTTAGACTGGAAAGTTACAAATTCCCAATCATCCATCACATGGAATAGGAAAACTAAAAAAAATAATACATGCAAACCATGTTGTACAACACAAATTGAACAAAATTTCAACCTACCCATCTCTCATAATGGTAACTCTAAATTCCACGGGTTAAAAAGGCAGCAACATCCAGCTTAGACGTTTTTTTATAACTGTGATGTGCATAGTAGGATACCCAAGTAAAATTTGAATTGAACTCTAGCAGGGAAAGATAGATTCTCAAATTTCCCCCTGTTTCATATTTAGAGGCTTTTACATGAAAACCAGTATGCTCCTAGATTATAACCATGATGCAATATTGTACTTCCGAATAATCAGTACTATCATTTCCTAATTCTTGTGCTTATGATAATTACAAAAAACAATAAAAGAAATTACTTCAATGCATTGAATTCTATAATAAAAATGCGGATGAAAACTCAAGTTTTCCTTTTTACTTGCAAGAGGATGAAAAAAGGAGGCACTCACAAATGAACTTTCTAAAAGCTGATGCTGCATAGCCTAGAACATGAAACTCAAGCTTTCCTTTTACATGTGGTATATTGATGGCAGGCAACATTAAATGGTTACGTACAAGGAAGAGAGCAAGTTGCCGGTGACCTTTATCAGAAGCAAGCTGAAGAGGAGTGAATCCAGCACTATCTTTCAAAAATAGTTCCTCCTTTGTTCCAGCATGAACAAGTAGAGTAGAAGCCTCAATATTTTCTCTCATTACCGCCCAATGCAGAGGAGTACAACCTGGCAGTAACAATGATTTTATGCACAGATTCTAGGTTAAAAGTTGTTCAGGAGTCAAAATCACATCGGAACATCAGCATTCTGAACATTTCGACAATCAAGACTCAAGAATTTCTAGATTTCTTTATTCTTTTATTACCTACTAAATAGATTTAAGCTATCAGAGTCCAAAAACAACAATTAGTTTTTGTACTGTTCACCCATTTTGAAAGACTAACAGACAAAATGGTAGGTACCGATCACAGAATAGCATCTTCACCTTTTGATTTTGGTAGGTTTTAGAATCGATGGAATTTATAGAGCTCAGGAAAATGACCTTTATTGTCTTGTCTATTTTGGCATGCATCTCTGAAAAGAAGTAACCTGATTGTATCTGTGAATCCTTTGTAAGCAGCCCTGAGTCATATGAACAAGGGGAATAAAGCCTTAACTAAGGCAGTCTGCAAAAACACCTGAACTACTCAAAGGATATCAACAGAGAACTAAGTGCCACCAAACAGTAAAAGATTCAAAAATATAAAAAATACATGTCTTAACTTGTTCCCATCTTTGACTAGAAATAAAAAGATAAGATTTATTCATGTGTCAGTAAAAAAAAAAGTAACAAAGCACAAAAATCAGATTGTGTAAAACTAGTAAAAATTGAGTTTTGTAAAATATGAAATCGGAAAAAAAAAGGATGTGAAGCCAAAACACCAAGATAAAATAATTCAAAAGAACTGAGAACTAGCTCATGAACTTTCAAAGTCTCAAGGAGTATAAAAGGCAATACAAATGCATGTATTAGTCTCTTCAGTGAGCATACCAATGAAGGGGGCTTCTCCCTTCATTATCTAGTGCATTATAGTCAGCCCCATAATTTGCAATAATGTGATTTAAGAAGGCTGTCTGTCCATATTGAGCAGCAACATGCAGTCCCTGCATCAGAAAATGCATTATCAAAAGACACATTAGAGCTCCACTGATGAGCTGAGAAACAAATTGGCAATATCTGAAGGCAAACAATATCGATCAATCAGTCAATGAGAACAAATTAGCAAGATGAGAAAGATTTCATTCTGTATGACCTCACGCCTGCCCCAAAATTTTACGTTTTGTTGTTATTTTATAAGGTTCACGATTATAATCTAAACGTAACGTCATTATGCAATTGTTTCCGTTAAGTTTGGAAACATAAACTCGAGTTGGAAAAGGCTTTTACCCTGTATCCATTCACATCAGCCGCCTCAATTCGAGCTCCATTCTGCAAGAGAAGATCTGCTACAGCAATTGAACCCCTTACTGCAGCCCAATGCAACGCTGTCTGTCGCATATGATCAGCTGCATTCACATCACCTCCATGCTATAAAGATGAATGAAGCCATCCAATCCATAGTTATTCCCAAACCCAGATACTTATAATCAAAATTGAGTAAGAGAACACAAAAGATTCAATAAAATAAGAACAACCAGCGGTAAGTGTCTGAAATGGATGCCTAAGGAACAGAATTCGCAGGAAAGAACTAAAGTGCAACGTGATCATACAGTTCAAGTGTAACACAAGAAGATCCTTCCATGAACTAAGGGAAGTTATACTACGAAAGATGCATCCGTAACCAAATTCCATAATCCTAGTTCCAACTTGAACACAGATTTTATCAAAACGTACGACTACCCATAATCAAACAAGAAAATTTCGAAAAGCAGGTGAAATATTGAAAGTTTTCAGCTCGATTTCAACGAGGTCTTATGCACGTGTAACTTAAAGTGATAGATACCTCGATGATATACTGCACAACATCGACGAAACTGTTGAGCGACGCCCATTGGAGGGGGTAGTAGCCGTTTCCGTCGGGAAGAGAAACAGAGGCACCGCCATGTTCGACGAAGCTCCGAAGCTGCCGGAGATCGCCGTAAACGCAGGCGGAGAAGACGTCGGTGATGGCGGGTAAATCGCCGGTAGGGTTTTGCTGTTGAGACTTCGAACCCAGTGTCACTACCTCGATCTCCGACGAACCCATCTGGACGAGGTTACAAAATCGATCTCGAGAGACGAACCGTTCGGATTCCAGATTTGGGATTCTCGGGTTGACTTATCCGGTCAAGGAATTGGTCAAATGATGGTCCTTTGACTCCTTTTGGTGGGTTTTTTCTTAATCTTCTCTTCTAATAATTAATACTTTTATTAGATTAAAAAATCATGGTTGTTCAATTAGTATGGTATTTTTTTTATCAATCAATTGTAAGAGAAATTATAAATTGAAACTGAAATTTAAAACAAAACAAAATTTTCTTTTCGCACAATTTACAAATGAAGAATTAAAACGAAGTATTTTATATTTATTTCAAAAATAGGACTAAAATATCACAGTCAAGAAGTCGAAAAAAATAGATAAATTCAGAAAAAAAATTTCAAGTTTTCTACTTGGTAGAAAAACTTTTATTTAACATTCATCATAAAAAATTATCAACTATTAATTTTGAATAAAAAAACTATTAACTATATAAAATTTTTAAAAACAATCTTTCACTTTAAATTTGTTATAAAAATCGTGAATTAATTTTTATAAAAAATTAATCATTTATCTACAAAATATTTTGTTTTAAATTTTATTATAAAAATTTATAAAATTTAAAGAAAAAACATATATAAATTATATCATTCTAAAAATCACATTAAAAACATAATATTTATTTAAATTTATTATATCATAATATTTAAAAATTTTATAAATATTTATAAATATCAATCTTTATGTAATAAATTTGTATACAAATGTTATATTTAAAATTCAATATATTTTATTGGTTGTAAATATGAAATTTAAAATTTTATTATATGTTATTATTTGATAGGTTGTAAATTGAGTACATTTTATTGGTTATAGGTTTCTATATTTAAAATAGAATATGTTTTGAAAATTTCAAATAGTTGATAATTTTTTATTAAAATTATTTTATAAATCTATAAAAAAAATTAAAATGATAATTTACAATCTCTATAATAATAATATATAATAGAATTTTAAATATAATATTTGCAATCAATAAAATATACTCAATTTATAATCTATTAATATTTATATACACTTTTATATTTTAATAAATAAAGTTTTTTATTAAAATTAATAATTGATTATTTTTTATAACAAATTTAAAATGAAAATTTGTTTTTAAAAAATCTATATAGTTAATGGTTTTTTTTCCTCAAAATTAATAGTTGATGGTTTTTTATAATGAATTTTAAGTAGAAGGTTTTTTTGAGTTTGTCCAAAAAAATAAAATTTAAAAAATATTTGTCTACTATAGATTTGAGTTTGGATATAAAAAAATCAAATTTAACCAAACTAAATCATATCTAAATTTCATATAAACGGTAAAAAATAATAACTAAATAGAATGCGATATTAACCGCAAGAGTAAGCCGTTTAAAGGTGAAACAAGTTTGAAGAAACTTTGAAGAGAAGAAAAAGAGAATAAATACGTTTTTAAATAAATTATAGAAAAAGGCAAAAAGAAAAAAGAAAAAAGAAAAGCGAGTACTTGGCTTTGCTTTACACCGTAAGCACCCGCTTTAATTCCCATCTATCCGTTCTCAAGAAGATTCTACACAACACATATTCCCACGCCACGCCTATAATGTTTTTGCAATTTTTTTGAAATTATCAATAATATCTCTAAGGAACTGTGAATGGTGAAAATGCTTGAGAAATAGATGCAGAGAATTTTTTATTTAAATTTCATTCATAAGTTTTTTTTTATCTAAACATAATTATTATTCAGAATCGAGACTGGTTCAATTGATGGGATTCGTCTTATATGGATTGTTTACTAAAACAATGTGTATTATATCGTCGATTACAATTTTTTTATAAGTTTAGTTTGATGGCTTATATTTTAGAATTTATTGAGATTTATATTTAAAAAAAAAAAATCGGTGTTTCTTACGTAAAAACGATTATTTATTTTTTTTATATATTTGAATAAAAATTTTATGTACAAAAAAAAGGATTCGAATTTCTTTTAATAAAGTTTTATAAACTACGAGAGGAATCAAGATCCTCCACGGAAAAAAAAAATCTTATATGAGAATTTCTATTCTAACTTACTATTGGGTGGTAAGTATTTTATAAACATGATAACCATATAATATGTTTATTATTTACTAAAATAATCGTTCGAGAATCCGATGAGAAATTAGACAAACAACATAAAACAAAAATAAGAAAGCCACCGCCAACATACATAGATATACGAGAAACGTAGTCGGTGAAAGCCCTAAGAAAAAACAAAATAAAATAATAGGAAAAATCCCATATAAGTACCCGAATTCGTCGAAATGTGCCAAATAAGTACTCTAACTTATAATTCTGTCAAATCAGTACCTCAACTACTATATTGTGATATATTAGTATCTGAACTCGTAAAATTGATGTCAATTCCCAATTTTATGCCTAACGACGTTTATTGTCATGTTTTCCGTTAATTCTGTGCTGAGTTGGACGACACGTCAGTAATCCACGTAAGATTTGAAGGAGAGATGGACTACGCTGTCGGTGAGAGAGAGAGAGGAGGTGGAACATAAAGTGAGAGTTAAAATAAAAGATAGAAACCCTAATTTTAATTTAGAGAATTTTTCCGGAACCGGTTTTGTTGGTATTGTTTAAGTTGAGTTTAAGTTGTAAATCTTACGTGGATTACTGACGTATCGTCCAACTCAGCATAGAATTAACGGAAAACATGACAATAAACGTCGTTAGGGATAAAATTGGGAATTGACATCAATTTTACGAGTTCGGGTACTAATATGTCACAATATAGTAGTTGAGGTACTGATTTGACAGAATTATAAGTTGGGATACTTATTTGGCACATTTCGACGAGTTCGGATACTTATATGGGATTTTCTCAAAATAATATAATAATACCGATATATAATCAATGTAAGATATGCTCGCATAATAATAAAGTAATGCTCCTATTATTATTATTATTATTATTATTATTATAAATACCTCACCACGTATAGGCATCAAGGTTTTCATATCTCTACATATTCGTCAATCTCTGCTTCAAATTTATTTTTCATACAACCGAATATTTGTATATTATTATTTTTTTTCCTTAGCGAAATATGAGCGACCCGAAGTACGCATACCCATACCCGGCGCCGGGGTACTACCCGCAAGGACCACCACCTCCGGTGGCTGCTCCGCCGCAGTATTATGCTCCGCCGCCCCCTCCGCCGCCGCAGCGAAAGCCCGGCTTCATCGAAGGACTGTAAGCTCTCTCTCTCTCTCTCTCTCTCCATACTTATATATGTATGTATGGATCTATATATGTCATGATCTCAAAATAACGTAGAAAGTAATGACCATTATGGGATCAGAAATATTCTGGCTTTTTTCTCTCTTGATTTACCCAATAATAAAAGAAAAGGCTTTAGAAAAAACCCAGAAATTAAACTACCTGATTTTCAGTAATTAATTTTCTTAAGGTGACGATCTTGTGATGTATATATTTTCCTCTATGTTGGTTAAATTTGTATATTATATTAATTAAATTTGTCAATTCTGTATTATGGGAAGTATTGTTCTTTCGGATTCATTCATGAATTACTTTGTCGGTCGAATGATTTATTTGTGGGGTTTGCAGGCTCGCAGCTCTGTGTTGCTGTTGTTTGGTGGACGAGTGTTGTTGTGATCCCACAATTATATGTGTGGACTAACCTTTATTTGTGACTTATCTTTAAGAGAGGGAGATCATTTTCTTTTACTTAATCGAATAATCAGTATACATTTCGTATTTTATTACAAGTTTTTTCGAGTTCTAGGTTTCGGTTGGTGGGAAAATATTAATACCTATTATTTTATTTTCGTTACCAAATTACTAATAATGAAATTCGGTACATAGTAAACAAAAAAAATTAATGTAGTTTCATATAAAAATAAAATATTGTATTTTGTTGGTAGGTTATTGACGCATTAAACGGAAACTATTACACAGACGATGCAAACTAACGCAAACTTTGAAAGCATTTCTCTTGATACGGCACAATTCTTCTTTTTTTTTTTAGTTCGATATATGGATGATTTCCATCAGTTTACATGTGATTAAGTGATTTTGGGTTAACCGGTTCATTGTCCGGTTTATGGTTAATTCTCTTTTTATCTGCGAGACATTGATTTGGTCAGGATTGGGTGTTTCGGTACGGTTTTTCGAAATCAAACCGTAGTGAACCAAAAAAACTGGTACCCTTTTTGAATCAAACCGTGCAAGATTATCGAATGATAATTTTTAATAGCATTAAATTTTTTAGAATCGAACTTTAACTGAATTAAAAAAATTGAAAAATCCGAATTGTTTTTAAAAAATATAATTTGTTTTCTTAACAATAGTATAAGATACAATAATCGATTGGTACATATATTTTTTTAGAATTGAAAAAATCAAACCAAACAAATATCGAACCCAAACCGAATACCGAAACAGTCGCGCCTACTTAGAATCCATATTCTCCTTCTAACTCTTCACACTTTGAGCATATTCGTTTTCTTTGTTTCTTTGGTATTCTTATTCTTTCAATTCCTTTCTCGTATTTGCAAATTGGAATCATTCATGATCAATAATCAAACCAGTCGAAGGAAATTATCCATAATAAATATTTGAATTTAAGTTCATTAATATGTGTAATACTAGACCTAATATTAGTTTAGCAGTGAATGATGTGATGCACCAATAAAACATATATATAATTAGAGAAATGTGGAAAGAATTCTCAAACACAACAGTCATCATGCAATCTCCGGAAAAATTACATTTGGATGGAGCATAATGGTTTCACAAATTCAAATTGAAAATTTTAAAAATAAAAGAAAATCATCAACATACCATTTTTATATGTATTTGAAAGAAATTATCGTCATTTGAAAATATATCAAAAAAATTATATTTCTTAATCAAACATCATTCCATTGTTTAACCGGTGAAAAAGAGATAAAAAAAATTTATTCCGTCTCGAATACGAATCTCGAATTGAAAAAGGGTATAATTTCAATCACTATGGTTTCCATTAATCTATACTTCAACCCTAATTACCCAATATATATATATATTTCTTTTAATGGCCCTCCTTTTGATAAATGTACCAATTGGTTCCTCCCCTTTTACAACAGTTGATTTTTCTTTGGTGCAAGAAAAATTAAAAATTAAAAACCAATAAAAAATAATTTTGTCTTCTCATTAAATAAAATTTTAAACGACAGAGAATGTACTCGAAGAAGAAAGGGCGTGGACTCGCAGTTTAAAAGAAATTAAATAACATTAAAAACCCAATAAATATCTGAAGTCTTGCGTGTCTAACGTCTAATGATGATTAAAATATGCTAATTAATTCCATAAATATCTCCACTGCGTCGAATAATAATTCGACGCGTGTACATTCTTGCCCTAGGATATTTCAGACGCTTTTGTTACGCCCACACAAAGGGCTAACGTTCTTCTTGATCTTCTCTTTCTTCTTCTTCTGCATGTCTACGTGAAAGATGTTTCTGGTTCCGGCGAATCGATTCGCGAAGAAGCGTTATATGCAATTCCTCCGTTTTCATGGCGGATTGATCGGTACGTAATTTCCATCAGTTTTTTTCTTTTATTTCCCCGCATGCTTTGAGATTTGGGACCGAGTCTTCGTGATTTCGCGGATTATTTTCTCTTTTGGGTGCGAAAGTTTCGCCGAATGGTTGTTGGGGGTTTCTGAATATTTTCTCCATTGAAATCTGCGTGCTTTGTATAGGTAAGTTTATCTCCAGGGAATCTGAAATTTTCTCCATTTAAGTTTTGTGTGTGTAGCAACGGAAGCTAAGTGTGAGTACGAACCCTAGGAGTTAGTGGAAAACTCTGTCCGTAACCTAAGTTGGTGGAGGGGAGAGAGTGAATGGATTCGGAGACAAACCTGTGGATTGATCTCTTGTCAACTACTTTGTTAAAAACATTCCAAAGAGTTGAACAAGGACTTCTCATGTGCACATTCAAAATCTTGGCGATTTTGAACTTTTTATGGGAATTAGAAATCTAATAGGACGGAATAAAACGAATAAGAAAGGAATTCTAAAATCATTCAAGTTCTAATATCGATAGTTTTCTATTCTTGTCCTGCCTCATGTTCATTATTTCTTGCAGAGTTGATGAGTTGATTCAAATGCCTTTGTATCTTAGTATATGTGTTGCTAAGCTTCATTTGATTGGGAAGCTAGGAAATTTTTCTAACCTGTCGTGTGAGGAATTGGTTTGGAAATTCAAGCTTGTTGTACAAGCTGTTTGGATAAATTAGTCATTGGGTATAATTATTTTCTGCAATACTAGGTATGCTTTCAAATATTCATGTGAATGAAGATGCATGTTATTTGATTGGCACATATACTTACAAAAAGAATTTGACCCTTATGGCCTTATGGCATGATTAACCCCATGTTTTTGTTAGCTTTCTAGATTTATGTTCCATGTCTATTTCAAGAAATAGCATCCTCTATTAGATTCTTTCCATATATTGTGTTTCTTAATAGTTCTTCAATTATGGATTTGTAGTAGAAGGTATGATTTACCAAGTAGCATCAGCTTTGTTCTCTTGTTGAGTATGAAATTTGTTAGTACTTTTTCTAATTCTAATAATAATCCTTCTGGACTACTGTCAAGGTCTTCATTTGTTCTTGTACATTTAGTTGACATTAATTTGATTATCCACATGAATACTGCTAATGCTGAGTTTAGTGCAGGGAAAAAGTTTGTTAAGCTTCTTCATATTACAGCCATCTGATCCTCAGCATATTTTCAGAACTCTGACTCAATCTCTTGCACCGGTTAGATTTTGCTATAGCAGCCAAAGCCATTATATAGGAGTCTTCTGACTTGTATGTCAGTGTTCTTTAACAAAAAATACCTGGCAGCATGTTGATCGCCGATCGCGTCCCGGGACGATAGGATATTTGGAGTCGCCAACTCTACAAAAAAGGTAAATGGAAAGTACTCATATCGATAGTGTTTCCATATGGATAACATAGCAAGAGGTGTTTGTATGATGCCTTCACCACATTGTATTGTTTCTAGGGTATGTTTTAAGATGTTAATAAGCTAGTCTGTTATAATATAGAGGTTATTATCGAATTATTCCCGCTTGATAACACAGACCTATCCAGTATTAGGCTCAAACCTATATTTTCAAGTTCTAGCCTTCTAGGTTAGAACTTGCATGTAAAAGGTACGTCGTGTACGAATTTGGTTAGGGTGTATCATGACGTATTCCCATGCTTCTAACACTGGTATGGTACATATGTTGGCCTGCTCTGGCTTGTCCTGATTGTCTTCTCGAGAAATCTTTGTGTTGGGTAGAGCTCTAATTCAATTGCTGTGACTTCTTGGCATGATGGTTGGAAGTTTGAAGGTTGAATTCACCCGGACAAGTGAGCTTGATAGAGGGTGTCAAGAGTTTTATACAAATACATAACTTTGCCTTTGTGTGATCGTAATACTTGGCCATAATTGTAGGTAACTCATTTCACGTTGTAATGTAGAGACTTATTCGTCATTCTCAGACAATGTAGAATCTAGGTAGATTTTGTGAGGAAGGGTGAACTAAGTCCTTGTGCATTTAAGTCCATAAAAACTATGTCAAACATGTTCTCTAAATTTTTGTTGACAGTGTGAAGTTTCGAAGTTCAAAGTTGAACACTTAAAACTGCATGATGTGTAGTTTTAGAACCATATTCATATTATAGAAGAAAAACTCTAACGTCTTTGGATGTGTGTGCTGCACCTGTTACTTGACAAAGAATGGTTCGTTAGTACTTGATATTGGCATATCTTTTGTCTTTTAAGGCTTTAGAGGGCTGTATTTTGCCCTTCCTTCATGCCTGTTAAAAAAAATGCCTAATGGGAATACGGAAGTCATGTTTGAATTTGAGATATGTTGGACTTTTGATTTCAAAAGGATACGATGCAGGGCAGACTTTGTTGATACAGAAATAGAACTACAAGAGTATCGAAGAGTGCCCTCCAAGAAGGTAAGATTCCTTGTTCCTCTACTACGCCGATATAATTCCCTTAGAAATTCATTGACCCCTAGTTATTCTAATCCTATCCGTATTAATATGTAAGATTTTTGTTGCCAATAGGAGATTATATTAATAAGGAATGCTAATAATGGCAAATCAAATTAGAGACATTGATCATATCCAATTAAACATCTTTTCCGTGAACTATTGCTAAAAGGACACAGATCGTTTTAATCATGCCTTTGTCCCTAAGCCTGGTCTCTCTAGTCTCTTTTAGGCAGGTCGGGTGAGTAGATGGATTAGAGTTCAATAAGGACGGAACTTGGTATTGGGAAGAGATTTATTGATACTAGAATAATACTACAATGTATCGAAGAGAAAACGCCTTGTTCCTCAGTTTATATGTACAATCACTTCAAATTTTCTTGATGGATATTTCTTCCAGTAAACATGTATTTGTAGAGACAATACTAAGTAGGAATTCTACTCAAGCCAAGCTAAATTTGGGACACTAATCATGCCCAATTAGTTCTCTTCTCCCTAGTCCATATGCTAATATTTAACGGATATAGATTTCTTTCTTTCTCGTCCCTTCACTCTGAATTCACTATCCCGGGCCCTTGGATTAATTCTTCCTTCGTCCCTAATGAAGATACTTGGTGCAAGTCGAAATTATAGTAACCAAAAAAGAACTGACATGTTTTAAGTGGAGAACTGATGCCTGTTTCCAATGCAATAGGGATGCTCTTTGCAGTATTGTACCATGAAATACATGAAAACAGAGTTTATGTAATGAATTTTCTGTTTAGATAGATAAACTAAGAGGAGGTTATTGATCTCAGTGTTTGTTGATACCCTATATTGTACCGTGCAGAGTGGTGTTCATTGAGTTTGCTAAAAGACAATTAGAATCATCTTAGGAATTTTAATGCATAAACGAATTCTTAAGGAAATTCACTAGTCAGATAATTTCATACCATGTAAAGTAGCTTATAAGGGATAGAACTTGTTGAAGAGCTAGTGTGCTTGACAGTTAAGTGCGGATGACACAGTTTGTCTGAACGGATTCTTTGTGTATGCACCATTATCTGTGTAGCTTTTGCTGGGGAACCTGTTATCTGTCAATAGTGTTAGGCCAGAACCAAGAAGTTTCAGCAGATCTTTCGATTAGTTTGGAATAGTGTCTAGTTGGTCTTTTGAGAAGTTTCACTGGTGCAGAGAGTTCATGAATGATAGAACAATTCTCATATGATAGTAACAAACAAATGCTAGCATCTTTTAATCAGAATAAGTGCATACATGCCTAATTGAAGTGAAAAAATAGGCCTGTTTGATAATTATTGAATTACCATAAATTTCCTTTGCTACAAGGCTTCAATTATCTTTTTCTTTTTCCTTGTATTCGGACCAGTTTAAAGGCTTGGAAGTTTTCGGCGTAAGGTTCTATACAATTCTAAGGGACCTTGAGGTATGGAAATCATGTTTGATATTAGGACCACATTAACAAATAACTACCGTCTTGGTACATTGATAGAGAGATTCATCATGGAATGTAATTGCACTGGTGTTTTCTATTTGCAATTCCATTTGTGATAGCCAAAAGTTAAAGCTTGGACCTAGGTCGGAACCCTTTATTGTTCATTGATATTTTCTCCGTCAACCATCATTGAGTACTGATATATAGCATGCCTCACATCACCCTTCTCAGACTTTAATTACATTCTTGTCTTTTTTGTTTGTGATGGTACTTTATTCAGTTTGAGTTAGATGGTTGATAAATCCCCATTTGACTTTGGTGTGATTAGTCATTAGTTTGTGTGTTAGTAAGTCTTGAGTAAAAGGGAAATGGTGAATGGAGGATTTGTTAATCAAATTTTAGCATTTAGGTCTCCTAGATTTTTGTGTGTACCGCTGTGGACAGCGGAGGCTGTTTTGAGTTGTTCTATGCATTATAGCAAATTCCAATTGACAAGTAGAATAATATCCAGTATGTTTGACATGCTCATTATTCGAATCCTTAATGTACATAGACAGTTACTTCGTCACATAAGGAAAATATATGTATAGAAACAAAAAAGAAACAGACCATTTTCATACCATGTGAAGTACTTGACAAAAGATAGAGGTAGCAGATGAACTCGTCCTGCTGGATCATTGGTGAGGATCACCTATGTCACCCCTCCGCGGGTCACTTGTGTATGCATCTTTTGTCCAAGAAGTTACCGCTAGGGAAGCTGTAGTCTGGTTCAAATAGTCATACAGATTCTATGAGACTGCATAAACCAAGTTGTTCTCATGTATAGAATAGATAAAGTGGTGCAAGTGGAGTTTACCCCAGCTTCATTGATTTTTCGGGAGGTGCATCTTTGGTTGGTTGTAAATGGTCGAGCTGAAGATGAACCAGTGCAGGTGTGTCATATGCAATGCTGGTAGGATTTGCACTTGTATTGCCTTCTGTCACATCCATTGTTCCATGAACCTGACATTCCGAGAAAAATGTTTCTTTTGATTCAACCATAATTTTCCCAGGTGACTATCTATCTTCTCTCTTTTTATGTCTGATATGAATTTTATTTTTGGAAATACCTTCTTTTGCATATTCTTATTTTCTCTATGAATCAGTTCCACCATACTAAGCAGCTCCAGATTCTCTTTCTGGATGATTTGTCCCTGCAACAGAATCATACTTTGTTGGTTGCTTGCTTCCTGGGTAAAAATGTGAAACAGACTTTGAAATCTCTAGCCGAACAGGTGTTAGTTTCTGGGTGACCTTCCGGTTAAGTTCTTTGATTTCGTCAGTGAGTAGCTGGTCCTGCAGAAAGAAAACCATTTCTAAATCACATTTCGGTAAGATGCAGTTAGTCTTGGCCCACAATTGTATGCTTTATGAGAACTCCATACCTTTTTCAGACGTATACTTCTCAAACTTGTTTCAAGCTGGTTTTCTAGATTCTGTAGATCATTGACGTTCATGCCTGTAAGTTCTTCTCCGATCAGCTTCCTGCATATATAAGAAATGTGTATATGAATGCTTTATGGAGTACAACATCATCTCACCGTACCCCAGTTGCAGTTTCTCTCTGTTTCTTATGATAAACGATCATTACTCTACAAATATATTGTCATACTGAACCGTATTTTGTTATGTACAAGTAGCCACCATTAATATCTAGTGACAACTAATCGAAGTGTCATTGGAACAGTGGTTGTTGACATTGAGATTCTGATTTTGTAGGCCGTAGAAACTCTACCTGTGGCATTCTTGCAAATATTGGAGCTGCTGTCGCAGACTTGCGACCTCTCTTTGCCAGAACTGGTAACATAAAGGAGAAGAAAAGATTGATGTTGACAGGAACCTCTGATTCTTTATCCATACCAAGTTAGATGAAATAAAATTATGTGCTTTTCGACATATAGTGTCTCTCTTCTGGATTAACATATGCATCCACGGCATAGCAATTCAACCGAAAACATGGCTTTTAAGATATCTTTAATCACTGGGCTCTCACAATCACCCCTATATGTTAGTTTCCTTTGTTTTCTTGGATGCATGTACAGGTTTGAACCAAGACTCAAGATGGATTTGGGCATGTTTTAGGTGTTTATAGGTGCTCAAACATAAATGCAATCCTATACTTCGGTTTTCATATTGTATCTAGTCTTCTCTCTGTTGTGGTTTACCTTGCAAATATTTTTTTTAGCCAATAGATCCCATCTCTACAGGTATTCTCCTTTTGCTAGTGTTAATAGGCTGACTAGTTTGAAGTATCTTTCACTACCATTCTGAACCGCATTTACTTTTTGGCAGTTAGCAAGACCGTTCTTGTCTTCTCTTTTGATGGAACGACTTGAAAGAAGGAACGGAGGAGACAACCCCAACTACCAAGTTGGAGAACAATATTTCTGATTCACAAGATTTTCCTGTAATCCAAAGGTACGTTTGTAGGAATTGTCGAACGAAAACGAGGGCAAGTTTCGTTTACTTGCTCGAAATGTTCATTCTGTCAGTAAATTTTAAGTTCCTCGCATCGAAGTTAAAGTTGAATTGGGACAAAGTACCTTGGTCATGAGGATTGGTCTAGTGTGTCCAAAGCGACACTCTCACATCTCATCCTTGGGGTACATTCATTGAAATTATTGATAGATCTTCCTTTTGCTGTATCCCTCAGTTCTTCTTGTTTCACAAGTTGAGATAAGAGAATTGCATTGGGATTTTAGCCCATTAAGGAAAAGCAATCCATCCTATTCTAACCTCCAAAACTTAGTTCATATACGGTTCATAGGCCACCTATTATTGATTCCATCTATCGTAGGCAGATATGTGTAAGGCTATAACCACACATTCAACATCGGCGTCCATGAAGGTTTCCACTATGGCCTGAATTTTGTCCCATATGTATTCAGTGGGTTCTTGATGTAGTGTAAGAATCCTAAGCTTGGACATGAAAATATCGGCTTGCAAACTCGACGTGGAGAAGTAAAAGACTTGAAGGGTTAAAAGACAAAGTGAGAGGATGTCTCTAATATCATGAAGCTCCACAGTGTTCTTCAGAGAAGATTATGAGCTTCAAGAACTGAGAACGAAAGGTTGAATTTGTGAACCTAAAGTTTGAAACAACATAAAATCCGGGGCAAAGTACAACAACGGAAGTGGTTCAAGGGACACGGTGATTCAAGGTGGACGAAGCAATAAGTAGAGACCGATTCAAGATGGATGAAGCAAATGTTATAATGGAGAATGTGGATATTGGATTCAAGATGGATGAAACAAATACTATAGAGGAGAATCACGTCGAGGGATTTGTGGTTAGTGGTGGGCAAAGAACACAAAAAAAAAATCAAGATGGGAAACAGAAAAAAAGATCCAAGGGAAGTTAGGATCAAATTATGTGAAAAAGTGGTCATTCCAAACATTACTTCAAAATAGAGAGAAGTTTCTAGAATATACTTATTCCTTGTATCGGAGAAATAGAAAAACCATACAAATATTTACACTAGATAGTTAATCATACAAGAATATCCACAAAGTGGTAAACTATAATATAATAAAATACTTTTAACATTCATTTTGTGGCCTGATATCCCTTTTTGTGACCTTATTTCCCTATGATATTTTTTTCATGATGAAATGTTAGCACCTATCATAGATATAGCACAAAAAACAAAAAAAGGAATCTCTTTTTTTTTGGGTAGAACATGAAAAAATAACATCAAAATATTTGTCTTGGTAAACAAATCCAAAATATTCCATGTCAAATAGATTTTTTGAATTTTTTTTTTTTGTATTTTTATGACTAAAATTAACTGTACTCTCCAAGTGGAATATTCCTTTTATCATTTATTTTCTGCAACGGCGAGTCTCTTTCTACTGCAAATATGATGTAAAAAGATTAAAACTAATGGAAAAGAGAGTATTATTTCATTTGAAGCTCCTCTTTGTTTGTCCCACTTACTATAAGGCTTTGATTGTTGGCTGGCAAGTTACTTGATTTACCAATATTATAGTTTAACTAATTTTACTACTAAAATCACTCTAGATTTCACCAGTTCAAATTTTTATCCTCCATACATTTATATTTCTTATTTTTAAACTACTTTAATTGCATAAATTCAAATCTCTAAACTTAATTGGGTTATAATTGAAATCTAAAATGTCTCTAGGCACGAGAGTGTAAGAAAATTTACTGGTTGTTTCGTTTGAATTATATTCTTATATTTATCTATTTATTTTCTTGTATTTTTTACATAATTTTTTTCATAATGCATACTGAGTACTTACCTTCTTTTTGAAAGAAAGGGTCACTCTTTCATTAATGATGGATATACATAATTATTCATGTTCCATAAATTATAAACTTTAGCATAATGGAATCGATTCAACCAAAACATGGATCGCCAAGAACATTTAACAGAAAAATATCGCAAAATAACATTCGTTAGTATGTATAGCACTAAATAGACAAATTATTGAATATAGACAACCTAGATTCATTAAATTATCGAAACTATATTCAAAAAAGCTTATGAATCTAATAACATTTTTTTATATCTTTAGGAATCAGGGTTTAGATTGTAGTATTAAAATTAATATTGTTTATTATTTTTTTTTGTCATTTTACATAGTAGTTAGTTACAATAAAAAAAAATATGTCATTTTTAGATTGAGCCCTAACTACATAACATTTAAAACATAATACAGATTTCAACGCATTAAAATAAATTTGTGACCCAATAAATATTCTAAATTAGAAAAACTGAAGTTAACATTGAAAGAGACGACGCTTTTGTGTCTGTCGGGCCAGTTGTGAATTTGTGAATGAGCGAATCAAAGACAAAAGCCACAGAGAGAGTTCATCACTGATATGGTTAGCTCGGTCCTAACTTGTACCAATTAATTCTAATTCGCTTAACCGGCTTCAAAATAAATCAGGGAGCAACAAACCGGTTCTTTGGTGGTGGACACACATTGTCATTATAAGTGATTTAGAAGTCTATGGATAAAGTCAGCAACGTGCAGCAAAATTTGAGGAATTGATGAGAGTTCGGACCAAGATTTGGGGAGCTGGTCGAATGTGGAAGACATCTCCATGTATTTAGGAGAAGTTGGTGCGTTAGAAAAAAAATCTAGACCGGGTTTAATAGAGATAGGGGTATTAAAAAAACTGCAGATATCCGACTCTAAATTCATCAAATGGTTCGGGTTCTAGGAATTCATAAACCGAATCCGAATCTGAATCCAAACATATCGGGTATCCCACAATTATCTCCAAATGCTCGATATCTACGGGTACCCGAAAATTCTTAAGCGCAATTGCCGATAAAAGGGAAACAAACCCCGTTTGTAAGCACATCTAAATATTCACTAATACATCACAAATTTTCTCTTTGTAGCATTCAAATTAAATCCCCCGAGAAAAAGAAGTGGAATCGGACCAAGAATCATCCAAAATCTATCCATAACGTATAGTTTTCTTAATGCAGACTACGAATTTGACATTTCATTGACGGAAAAAAAGGGTTTAAAAGCTAATTATAATAGTTCTGCATGTAATGTTTTAATAATTTCGTGAACCTAAATGGAAACTATTATTTTCTTTATGTAATAAAGCTATAGCCAAAACAAATGGATCAAGTGTAATGTCATATGTCTTAAATCTCATGCTGAATCCAAACCCTAGCAAACACAAGGACAGATCTAAAACCACATGTTCCAAACATGTTGGAGCCAAAAACAATTGGCTCTGGTGTGATTGGAGATGGTTTGACAGTACATTTTTTTCCCACAATGATTTATCATTTGTGGAATGTGCAAGTAATATATATCAAATTAAACATTTTCTTTTTAAAAAAAAAAATTATGTAGATTATTTTTATTTAATATCCCAGTTTTTTAAATATAGTCGAACAGAAAATATTCAAAATAACATGAGGAAAGTCAATGAAATCAAGGATAATCTATAAATAATTATAAGCATGTTCTCAAAAAAATTTAAATCATTTAAATTAAATGTTACACAAGAAAATATGCGTACCTTTATCTCTGAAGCAGGATTTAGTAGTTGATGTTGCTCCTCTTTTATTTTGTTATAGCGCTCAATGATACACTTCATGCTGATCATATTCCAAAAAAAATAATAATAATTGACATATCCATAGTATCCATCAATTCATTACCGCAAGTAACAAATTTCAATATACACTTCATTATTCCAAAAAAAATATTTATAATTAAATTTTAACATAGTAACCAATGCGAACGTCGCGTGAATGAATGCAAAGTCTGTGTTGAGAAGACACGATTCAATACCATGTAATCGATCGATTATAGTGGAGATTCATACAATAAAAGATATAAAAAGCGAGGTTTTATAAGAAATTGGAATGGAATGTAATACTTTACCAAAGATGAAAAAGGAACTCCTGCATCTATAAAATCAGTAAGGTTGGAATGTAGATCGCCGCATAAACCCTAAGGAGTTGTGAACATAAACCAAAGTGGTTTTTATGTATATATTATGCAAATGCAATGATTTTGAAACGACTAAGCGATCACGCCCTTGAACGACCCAAAGCTTTGTTTTGTATATATACCTATACATATATATATATACACACACTTATAAACATATACATATACATATATACATATACATGCCTTTTTCTCAAGAAGCAATGCAAAATGGAAAGAAAGAGAATACAAGATATATATGCAGAATCTATTATATTGACCACAAATCGAAGCATACCCTTTGGTTATGCGATGTCTAAGGCTAATTCAGACAACAAAAATCTTCCCAAAGGCGTTGAAATTATAAAGGGTAAGCATAAATTCGATCAAAGATTAAGTGGGAGGAAACAGACCTAGAATTGCCGGCGTAATCATAGAGCTTGCCGGTGCTCGAAAAGATAATGACACCAACTTCCGCATCACAAAGGATCGAAAGCTCTTTGGCTTTCTTAAGCAATCCGTTTCTTCTCTTCGAAAACGTCACTTGTCGGCTCGTCGAGTTATCGATCCTCCTTATCACAATCTTCCCTCTTCCCATCCTCTCTCTTCCTTTGACGGATTCGACAATAAAGCTGCAAGCAATACTTCCGAATCGGAAAAGGGTCAGATTTCTTCACTGTTAACGTCGCGAAGATCAAACTGGATGGCCATCGTCTGATCCAACCCCCAATAAGTAGGGAAGGAAAAAGTAAAAGATAAACGAAGAGGACTGCTTACTTGATTTCCGCTGATTATGGAAACAATAGAGAGAGAGAGAGAGAGAGAGAGAGAGAGAGAGAGAGAGAGAGAGAGAGAGAGAGAGAGAGAGAGAGAGAGAGAGAGAGAGAGAGAAGGTTCTTTCTTTCTTTTTTTCGTTGTTCTTTTTCTTCTGTGGAGACGTCTTATGTTTTCTGTTTTGAGTATATATGGCCAAAACCAGTTTTATGTTGAGAAACTAAAACCACTAGTGGTTTTAGTACAAGAAACCAAGAAAGAGACCCACTCGCGGGCGTACAGAATCCGCTCCGTACTCGCTCGGACAGTCCATGGTAAGATCGAGTCAAATCTGTTTGACTAGTTACAAGATCGAGTCACTGTTCAGATCACAAGAGAATATTTCTTTCCGACACGTGTCAGCGCGTGGAGACAAATGTGTTTTTTTTTTTTAATTTGTGCGCGTCTAAGAAAAATATCTTCGGAGACTCATATGAGTACCTACAATCGTGGGGCGTTAAAACGTGGTATTGGGTTAGGCGTATAGATGATCGAAACGTGGACCAGTTAGAAAAGGTTTTTGAACTCCGAGGGTATTTTTGGAATTTGAAGCCAGGTTTTTCTCTCTATCATTGACGATTGGCAAGATGTTGCGCCTGTTCTTGCGATGACAGTCTTTTTCTAATTTTAATTTTAAAAGTGGAAATTTTAAATAGTTTATATAACATATATTTTTTTTATCAAACTTTGAACCTTTTGATATTTAAGGAATATTTTTTATTATATTCTCTTTTTTTGTTGTCATAGCCAGTCCTTATATTGGTTCATACAAAGAGCAACGTGATCGGAACATCATTAAGGGTTTAAGAAAATAATTGTGAGGGTATAATAAACTATAGAATAAATGTCAAATATTGTGAAAAAAAAATTTAATCTAATAAAATAAAATGATTTTTTTTATATTTGATCGGTTTTCTCATCCAATAGTTAGAACCTTACTAGATGTATGGGTAAGATTATTCAAACAAAATATATATAAGAATTAATAATTCAATGTTAACTGTTCTGGTTTATATGCTAAAATTATACTAACAAAAAATCAAATGAATATTGTTACTTATATAGATAGCATGTAAATATATTAGTCACATTAGGAAGTATTACCAATTATATATTAATATATATATATATTTTTTTATCTTTTAATAGAAAAAACTCTGATCTAATTAATGTAGAATAAATGTATCAAATATTCATTCGAATATTCTTCGTGGATAAATCTTGACAATAAATTTCAAGAAGATGGCAAATTAGCCTGTGTGCTAAAAGATCGAATGACGAGTCCTAATAGCAAAGCAAAGAGCATAGAGAATGGATTTCTTACTTGATTGTGTTAAAAATTTGATACTAATTATCCAAATTTGGACCACCGGTAATAAAACAATATGCAAAGTATGTTTTTATTCTATTTTTAAATTCAAATGTGGAAAAATGTATTCATCTGAAATTATCCGATCTTTTAAAAGATATAATTGGATCAAAGATTTGGTGAACGAATAATAAAAAATATTTAATACTAATTAAGTGATATGATGGTTCCTTCATTTATAGGATTATTTAACTCTCCCTCTTTTAGTTCAGACTCCATTTCGTGTGGTTTGCCATCATTAGTATGACACTAATGGTGTATCTCTCATAGTTCAATGGAATATACTTAAATTTGGATAACATATGGATATTTAAAGTATTTTTATCTTGGAATTTGTTAAAAAAAATAAAACCCTAATAGATAGAAAAGCCTATATATACATGTCATGGACTTGTATCTTTTCTTTTTGTCATTGATCTATCGCATGTTTACAAAAGGCTATCTATGCAACTGCATTAAAATTGCAAAATAGATGTGAATTTTGGCTGGGATCTATATCTAGAAATTATAAATTTCAAACTATAAAATATTTGGATTGATATTATTAGTTGGTGACCCAGTCAGAGATAACAAAGTCGTTTCAAGGTCATGGATTCAATTCACTAGTGGAGAAAAAAAGACGCAATTAATTATGTGATTAAAAGTTGATTCCAAGTTTAGAAAGATTAAGTGGACCGTTAGTGAACCTCATAATTATAAAAAAAAATTCTTTAGTGACTACAAAAGTCTTTCGATACCCAAATTATTAATTAGATAATCTTTTTTCTTTCCTTTGTGGTGTAACATTTTATACATAAAAGTCGAATGTTCTTTCTAGCTTTCCATATACGACCTTTTTCAATCAAGCCATTTACACCTCATTTGTGGTGTAACATTTTATACATAAAAGTTGAATGTTCTCTCTAGCTTTCCATACACGACCTTTTTCAATCAAGCCATTTACACCTCATTTTGAAAGCTAGTTTGATTAATAAAATCTTACATTAATAACTTATTTCGTATTAATTAGTAACTAATTATGTTCAACAACCTTTTTTATATTCTCATTTCTTTATTAATGTCTATTATTTTAACGATCACCATTGTTTATAAATGCTTCACAAATATAATTCATCTTATTTTTGTTTCCAATTTATTTGTCAATACAAATATAATAAATTAATTTCAAGACGGAATTAATAATTTCTTGGGATGAAACTTTTGGGAGTAAATTAATACTCCCTCCATTTCAAAATATTTGTAGTTTTAGGTTATTTTCTATGTTTTAAAATATTTGTAGTTTTACATTTTCAAAATATTTTTTTATAATAGTTTCCAATTTTATCCTTACCAAATTCCAATACATTATTAATGATTGCATTGTTTTTATCATCAAATAAGGGTATATGTGACTTTTGATCCATTTTCTTAAAAAATGTGAAACAATCTAAAACAACAAATATTTTAAAACGGAGGGAGTAGTTTCTACGACAGTGCACAAGTTTCAAACCCGATCTTCAATTTCAAGTAATTTTTTTTATATAAAAACATAATGATGCAAACCAATAATCCTTCCGAATTAATACAGTTTATTAAAAGAAAATTTAAATAAAAAACTACATTTTCAATTTTTTGCTACATATAAATAGACATTCTAATGCACTCAGTGGTTAATTATTCGGTTGGTTATGGTTTTTCATGATATGTCTCAGCCTCTGTTAATTGAAAGAAAAATATTCAAAGAAATGTGTATGTACAGTCGATCCATACAAATCCAGCTTTAGAACATGTTTCATCATCGACCAATATATATATATATATATATATATATATATATATATATATTTCAAGATTGATAAAAACCAGTTAAATTGTGAACATATGTAGAAATTATAAAATAAATGTCAATTATAAAAAAAAAAAAGAGAGAGAGAGAATGCAGTCACACGCACCAAAGTCAGTCCGGGACATAGAGAATCAACATCAAGATCTGCTGCTTTGGACAAGAACGCAAGTGGGAATTTACAAATTATGGAACTTGGAATATTAAAAGTATCTGGAGAATATAAATATATTATTAGTTACCTCGTTCCTATACCCAAATTAAGGTTTCCTTAAAAAGTATATTTCAGATTTACTTCATTTAATAATATATATAAATAAATAAATAAAAAGTACCCCAACTTGTTTGGCTTGGGAGTCTCAACAATTCATGCCCATCATTTTCCACTAATGATACTCCGCGTACACACACATATATATAATATAATATCTCCATCATCATCTCAGTCTATGTTGGAGAGATTTTATGTTGGAGAAAGCTTGTAGCGATTACTTTTTATTATTAAAAATTTTGTTTCGGGGAATCAATAATTTATTCCAATCTTTCCTTTCAAAAAACAAAATATGGTTTTCTTACTTGTAATGAAAATCAAATATGTCATATCATATGTATATATATTTATATGTAGTGGAGAACGAGATCTAAAATCTAAATTGTTTTGGATTATACAGGGAAAAAAATAGTTTTAAAATTTAGAATAATCATATATTCATATTATAATCAATCACGTTTTAGAATTTTAATAATTTCCCATGTTATATATGTGTGTGTGTGTGATTATAGAATACGAATTTCGAACAGTGAAAAAGATTGTTCAAGTTACGAGACCTCGTACATCAAACTCAAATAGATTATTAATTGGACAAAAAATATTAAAAAAATGTGAGGAATTTGACCAAAAGACAATTTGGAGAGGCGAAATCAAGCATTTAATTTATTTTTGGATCACACGGGTTTAGGCAAATTTTTTTATTTATCGCCATCTTTTTATACTACGAATTTTTCGTCATATATATCCCCATCATAAATATTTTCGATATCTCTCGTTGTATCAAAATATCATGATGAAGTGATTATATAAATAAACATAACAAAACATTATTTGACTGAGGGGTTAATGTTTTATAAACGAATATCATTATAACTAAGTTATATTTTAGGACACGAAGTGAAGACCTTTGAAAAATATTTTTCATAAATAACCTCTGTTGCTTAGAAGTTTTAGATTTTAATTCCGATTTTATATTTATATATATATATATATATATATATTTATATAACATGTTAAAGGATACGTATAAAGTTGCGACCACTAGTGCTTGAATAGAAGGGGTGACACGCGAGATTTTACCATCTCGATAGGATTACACCAAGGGTCCGCTCTAACCTCGTATCTCTTCGCATTAGTCATGGACGAATTGACTAGAGATATACGGAAAGAAGTATTGTGGTGCATGATGTTCGCAGGCGATATCGTGCTAGTAGATGAATCTAGAGAATGAGTAAATGGACAATTAGAGTTATGGAGGAGTATATTAGAGACTAAGACTTTTAGACTCAGTAGAACGAAAACCGAGTATATATATGCATTGCGATTTTAGTGGGAGGGATTCTAATGATGTATGAGTTAGTTTGGAAGGAGGATCAGTTTCTCAAAACCCGTATTTTAAATATTTTGGGTCAATCTTTCAAAAGGATAAGGGTTGCGACGAAGTTGTTAGTCATAGGATAAAAGTGGGATGGATAAAATGGAGACAAGCAACGTGGGTTCTTTGCGATCGTAAGGTTCCTTTACGGTTGAAAGAAAAATTCTACTGTACCGTCTTAAGACCCGTATTGATGTATGGTAGCGAATGTTGGATGGCGAAAAGACAACATATGTCTAAAATGAGTGTGGCCGAGATGAGGATGTTGATTGGATGTGCGGACACATAAGGATGGATAAAATTAGAAATGAGACTATTAGAGATAAAATAAGTGTAATAGGTATAGAAGAGAAATTAACAGAGAGATGTTTAAAATGGTTTGGACATGTATAATGTAGGTCGATGGATGCACCAGTTAGAAAAGTGGAGAGTATAGAAATAGAGGTGAAGAAAAAGGAAGGAGTAGACCTAGGCTTACTTGAGAATGTGTAATTAGGAACGATTTAGAATTGTTATAAATTCCGAAAGATCTAATGCAAAACCGAAATATAAGTGGAAACTAATAATCCATGCAATCCACTCCAAACAAACTTGGGACAGTTGATGTTGTTGTTGATGTTGATATGACATGTTAAAGTATATAATGAGTTGTGTCAAACATGTACTATAAAAAAATCTATCTTATTGTTTTTCCAATATTACAAACTATTTTATAAAAAATTGTTTTGATCTTGATCTTGTTCATTTTTAATTTTACCGTGTGGGCTGCTTATCTCTCTAAAGATAATAACGAATATTTTAATTTTATTACGTTTTATTGTTAAAAATCAAAATACATATGGATAACCCTATAATCATCAAAAGGAGTGTTTAACGCTTATAAAATTTTCATGGCTATGTACAAAATATATTTTTCTAACCTTTGCGAAGACACAAAAATATATAACAATTGGCTATAAAAAAAGGTATATTTCTTGTCATCCATCACGATAAATATAAAAATTATTCTGATGGCCATGAAAACCTATTCAACCTTAAAATTCAATACACCAATCGCTCTTATTATTTCTACACATTTATGTATATGCCTGAATATTTTAAATATTTTGGATCATAAATATCTGGATTTACCATTACTATATATGATTTGGATCATGGATTAGATAAAATCATCATTAAATATGTGTAAGATTATTCTTTGGGAAATTCTTACTGTAAAAAGTTCTAAAATTTAAAATTGGAAAAAATATAAAAGAAGTTGTCATTTAAGAAAAATAAATTCCTATTAAAATTTATTTTTTCTAAACATTTCTATCTACAATATAAAAGTTTAAAAAAATAGAGATTTTGTAATGATTAGAATTAAATACAAAAATTAAGTTACTAAACACAGAGGATTTGTTGACCAAAATACAGAGAACGTATTCAGTTACATGTTCTCTTTTTGACCTTTTTCGAGATCCGACGAAAACAGAAATAAAATTGGTATTACTATTGCAAAATAATGGATGAATTGAATCTGACGAACCAGACAACGCAAATCTCTTCCGTTCTTCTGCGGTCTCTATATACTCGCTCTCCTCGCTTCTTCTCTCCCACGGTAACGATTCCCAGACTCTCTCTCTTCTGTCGGGTTTCAGTTACCTGGAACTTTTTTCTCTGGGGTTGAGATAAGTGGGGTTCGTGTTACGAATTCGGACGATATCATAGTCAGAATCGAGGTTTTCTCGTCCTTGTCGGGATGAAACCCGGAATGGGGATTCTGTGTCAGTTGTGTCTTTGATATTTTGATGTTCTGTTCTGCAACTGCGTAATATATTCCTGCAGAACCTAGTTTGGTTGTTGGTAGCGATGCTGTTTGCTTCGTTTATGAATCTTCTGAATCAGACCGATGGTTTCGTGTCTGGGTTTCTCGTCTTCGGTTGCTTCTCGCAGGTTTTCAGTCTCTTCTTCCTTTGTCTCCTGTTTGTTCTGGGGTTCAAGTTTTTGCACTTCAAGGCTACTTCGACTGCGAGTGATGGTAGAGAGAAAATTGCTCGGTTTTCCAGGAAAAACGAGACTCCCGATGCCTGTGATCGGAAAAATCCGGATTGCAATGATGGGTTCGTCAAAAAACCTCGTATTGTTCGTGAATTTGATAGGAAAAGCATGATTTCCCGGAGGAAAATTGACGCTGCGGACTGGTTGGGTAAGAAGGAACAGAATCTCTCAAATCGGTTGTGTTCGGAGTGTGCGTTACATGATGGGTTTGGTCGGAAGAGGAACGCGACCGGGGAAGCAAGAAACGGAGGCATCGCAACGTTACCGGATACAGAGATCGCTGAAAATGGCGATGCTGAAGGAGGAAAAGAGAACGAAGAAGGGGTTCCAAGTGATGAAGACCAGATATTCGACGTTATTACCCTGAGAAAAATGGTGAAGAGAGAGAGGAAACGAGGGGAATCTCTCGACGCAGAGCTGGAGAAGGAGAGAGTGGCGGCATCTTCGGCCGCAGAAGAATCCATGGCCATGCTTCTCAGACTGCAGAGCGAGAAGAGCATGGTGGAGATGGAGGCGGAACAGTACAAGAGAATTGCCAAGCAGAAGCAAGATTACGATCAGGAAATGGTCCGAGAATTGAAATGGCTGGTGATGGAACACGAGGAAGAGAGGGGCGTGCTCGAAGACAAACTGAGATTGTGCGTAGAAAAGCTGAAAACGTATTCGGATGGAGACGGCGAAACCGACATGGACGGGTTCTTGGAAAGCCTCGTGGGTCAGAGGAGCGACATGGGTTCGCCGGAAATGGATTCCAAGGAACTGTGTGATGTTAACATTGTTGAGTGTTCAGAGAAACAGGAATTCAGTTTCAGTATAAGAAAGCTAGAACTGTAATGGAGTTCTTAGCTGCTGTTGTTGGTTGGGCCCATGGATATGTAATTAGATTTCGTCAATGGATGAAACTTTCAATGCTACATTCACCTGAAAAAGGTGTCTGAAAATTTCTGAGCTTTTTGTTCATATAGTTTGGTTTGAGTACATGAAATGAAAAGTGGACAAGGCTGGTTCATAACTTTGGATAGTTAAACCGAAATGGGACGCTAAACGTATTTTCTGTCTCGAGTTCAAACTTCAAATTCAAATTTGGGTAAAGAATATATAATCCAAAACATATGGTTGATTTTCGACTTAAAATTAATCTATACCTTAATCCATAAGTATATCCGATTATCTAAAAAAAAACATCTTAATATATGTTTGCAACAACTCGTAAGATGACAGGAGCTGCCATTCATATATTTTTTAACCTAGTTTATTAATTTTTATAAGATTTTATTTCCAATAAAGATAAGGTAATTTATGATGGATCAACGATAAGAGGTCCAAGAAAGAAATCAACCAAATTGTTACAATGAACGAGGAGAAGGGATCCCCGTCAAGATAATATATGTTTATCGGTTTATTTTGCCACCATCATCCCTTAATTGATTTGGTAAGTCACTGTTTGAGAGTGGAGTAAGGACCAAGTTTCCAGATTTATTAAAGAATAAATATGATAAAAATATAGAAATTTTTAAAGTTCCAAAGAAATATATATAAATAATTTCAGAATTTTTAAATATACGGAAGAAATTTTAAAACACTGGACTGCTCAATCTACTGTTCTGATTAATAAAACTTAAAATCAATTAAAATATAATAAAGGAAGAGTTAAAAACACTTTGTATTTTCAAAATAAAAATAATTATTTATTTATCAATAAAAAAACTCAAAATCAAGGAGATTTTTGTTTTCAAAAATATTATTTTTTCCCTGATCATTCATATCGTCAGGATCTCCTCTCTGAAACAGCAAGCCCGAGCACTAACTTCTCCCAAAACCCTAGCTTCTTGCTCTCCAATCTTCTCTCTCGATCATTCCATTTCGGTTTCCATCTTCAGTCCGATCCATCGATGTCTACAGACGACGCATCCTCCGCCGGAACGGCCCCTCCGTCGCCGGCGCAGCCCTCCCCCGCCGCCGGTGCAGGCGGAAGCAACGCGGCGCCGCTAGGTTCCTCCGTGATTCCGATAGTGAATAAACTGCAGGACATATTCGCGCAGTTGGGAAGCCATTCGACGATCGAGCTTCCTCAGGTCGCCGTTGTTGGAAGCCAGAGCAGTGGCAAGTCCAGCGTCCTGGAAGCCCTTGTCGGCCGCGATTTTCTCCCGCGTGGGAACGATATCTGCACGCGACGTCCTCTCGTTCTACAGCTCCTACAGACAAAGGGACGCTCCGATGGTGGATCCGAGGAGGAGTGGGGAGAATTCCTTCACTTGCCCGGCAAACGTTTCTTTGATTTCTCCGAGATTCGAAGGGAGATTCAGGTTTCTTGTTGTTTTGTACTCGAATCTTGATTAGGTTTTGTGATGAATTCATACGCTTTGGTCATATTAGCAGTTGCATTGTGATGCCATTATTTTTGAACGTGTATCGTTTGTAGGCCGAGACAAATAGGTTAGCAGGAGAGAACAAAGGCGTATCAGACAAACAGATCCGTCTGAAGATATTTTCCCCAAATGTGTTGGATATCACTCTGGTGGATCTACCTGGTATTACCAAGGTTCCTGTCGGTGACCAGCCATCTGACATTGAAGCACGTATAAGAACCATGATCATGTCTTACATTAAGCAACCAAGCTGCCTGATACTGGCTGTTACCCCAGCGAATTCTGATTTAGCGAACTCAGATGCCCTGCAAATTGCAGGAATGGCTGACCCTGACGGTAAGTTCTGCTTACAGGTCAAATGGGGAAAAAATAATTTCTGGGTTTCGTGCTATCAGAATTTTATCGTCTTTAATGTTCATGTGTATTTGATGTCTTCAGGTCATAGAACGATTGGTGTAATCACAAAGGTGCACTTTCATTCTTCAAATATTTGTTTGAAAATTATCTTAGTTTGGTGGCGGTGGCAACCTCTCCTCTTTCTCACGGGTTGTGGCATATTTTCTCTATGACATCAGTTGGATATTATGGACAGAGGTACTGATGCACGAAACCACCTACTTGGAAAAGTTATCCCTCTTCGACTTGGATACATTGGAGTTGTAAATCGAAGTCAGGAGGTAAACCCAAGATTGTTCTAATATTTTTGTTTTATTTGTTATTTGCATTAGTAGCTCATTTGTTATGACAAAATGAGCCAAAATGCTTCTGCTTCTGTATTTGTATTTGAAGTCTCTTCCCCAAAAGCAAACTAGTCATGCAGTCGTTATCTCCCCCTTTACTATTGCCTTTCCATGGAATTGCTATCCCAGAATTTCATTGACACGGTAATAATATTTTTGGCTTTTTTGTTGTGGTCTATGAGCTAACTGGTGTAAAAATTTGCTTCGGTTACTTTTTTAAACAGGATATTTTGCTAAACCGTAGCATCAAAGATGCACTCATTGCAGAGGAGAAATTCTTCCGGAGTCGTCCAGTAAGACTGCAGTGTTTTTTCCTTCTTGACAGTGTTACTTTTTTTGTTGTGTTTATATCTGATTATATTCTCTGATAGGCATACAATGGTCTAGCTGAACGTCTGGGTATCCCTCAGTTGGCAAAAAAGTTAAATCAGGTATGGTTTGTTATGAACGTCTGAGTTGAGAATGACATATTATCTGTTATGATGTTCTTATTATTCAGCAAATTATGAATGTGAAGCACGGGGATCCTTTTATTCACAGGGATGCTTTTACAGCTGTCAAAATGTATCTCATTAGGGTGGTGTTTGAGTAGTGCTTATTCTTGACATCACTTAGTCAGTTTACTCCAGCAGGAAGACGATACTTTGCAGGATATTCTAGTGTTCTGCACATCTAAATATGCTTGAAATTGTCCTCGTCTGTTTGTCATGGGATCATATGCCTAGTTCCTATGTTGTTTATCAATAGTAATTTTCTTCAGTAGATGGTAGATGTCATTGGCTTGGTGTCTGGCTTTCACAGTTCTTAATTGAAAAGCTGTCTTACAATATCTAATTATTTTTCTTTCAAATATTTCTAGATTCTAGTCCAACACATCAAGACATTGCTTCCTGATCTGAAGTCTCATATAAGCAATGCATTGGTTGCGACTGCAAAGGAGCATCAGAGCTATGGAGAAATAACAGAATCCAAGGTGTGCTTTTATTATTCGTTAGGAGCTTACTTGAAATTTAACCTCTGCGCGCCCAAAGCTTATCGTTTATACCATTTTGGTACTGCAGACTATTTACTTCTTTTTTTGGGTTCTTGGCACGTAAATTTCTTGGAAAGTACTCGTACATGTTGGCTGAATAAACAAATCTAAAATTTATGGAATTAGCAGATGGATGTGCTAATTTGTAAGATTAACGAAAAATGGCCAGTCAATTTGTACTATATTTTTACATCTTGAACGGAGTTTAGCTAATGTTTAGCTCCTTTTCCATTGTCCAAGATATTAACTAGCCCTTTATTGAATGGGATACGAATGATTTGAAATCATAAAACCATATGATAGCTACATGCCTTCCTTTTTTCTGTTTCTTTTATCTTTGGTAGTCTGTCATTTGTTTATTCTTCGTTGAATGTGTAGCATGAATTGATGATTTTAACTGTGTTAAATTAACCTTCCTGTTACCTTCTTATGTATCTTTGATCTTTGTGCCGTGTGCATCTTTATGCTTTTTGAAACACAGGCTGGTCAGGGAGCTCTTCTTCTCAACTTTCTTTCAAAATATTGTGAAGGTAACTCTGGAGATGATTCACTGACTTGAATAGCATCAGTCATTTGTTTTATGCTTCCTTATGCTGATGATTAATAAATTTTGTAACTGTTTGAAACAGCGTTTTGCGCAATGCTGGAAGGGAAAAGTGAAGAAATGTCCACGACTGAGCTCTCTGGGGGAGCAAGAATTCATTACATCTTCCAATCAATATTTGTTAAAAGTTTGGAGGTCCATTCTGACATTTATTCTTCTGTGATTTTATTTTCAGATTGGTCATAGAGGCTTAGACAATCATAAGCTTCTTTCTTATCCATATGTTCCTTGTGCATGCATTTGGCTACTTCTTGACTAGCTATTCTTTCTGCTGAGCTTATTTGACACCTCTGGTGTTTTGCAATTTTCTGGGGTCATTATATTTTTTTGACAGATGAGAGAATTTTATGCATGGATATACCACATTCTATCTAAGCTTTTGTTTGTTTGCTAATTTTCTAATTCCGAGCATATATTATGCTTTGACTATTGCCAAAGGGAAGTGAGGTGCTTGGTTTGAAGCTTTGAAAATAAGTTCTTTCTATTGTCCACTTGTTATCAAATCTTGACAAGCTCGTGTATGTTCATCTTGGTTCAATTGCTTGTATTATACAATTTCTGAATAATTACAATGCTTTCTTAGCGGTGCTTTCCTTACCATTGAAAGGAATCCATCAGTAAGGTGTAATGGATCAGTAACTTGTTTGCTTGGCAGTGATTGTTTACCTTGTTTCTGCTGTCGATGTTGTCAGGGCTTCTTTTGGTGGATTTTTATGTTTGTTAACCGACTTACTTTTGCCTCTTCAGGAAGTTGATCCATGTGAAGATTTGACAGATGATGATATTCGGACTGCAATCCAGAATGCTACTGGCCCTAGATCTGCGTTATTCATCCCGGATGTAGGTTTTATGACACCTTCATTTGGCATGTGGGAACGTTTCTGTTCATCAGGACTTTATTGTATATGCAAATGCTCAAATTTTATACTTCCAAGACTTTTCTGATTGGTGTATCTCAATCTTATTATCATCCACATAGGTCCCATTTGAAGTTCTCATCCGGAGGCAAATATCGCGTCTGTTAGATCCCAGCCTTCAGTGTGCCAGATTCATTTTTGATGAGCTAGTAAAGGTAGGAAGATTCCTTTTATTGTTCTAGAGTATGATTGCTGTTTATCTCATTTTTGTTGTGAAATTGAAATTTGAGTTTCTCAGATTAGCCATCGTTGCATGGCGAATGAGCTACAACGCTTTCCAGTCCTGAGAAAGCGCATGGATGAAGTTATTGGGAATTTTCTTCGAGAAGGCCTTGAACCCTCAGAAACAATGATTGGTCATATTATTGAAATGGAGGTATGTGGTAGAGATCCATATAGCCATGGACGTCATTTTTTAAAACAAATGATGCGTGTTACATATGTATTTTGGAATAACTAGATTATTTATAAAAAATATGTGAATTGTTAAGATACTATATTTCAAATATGGTCACAAACTTTTCCTTTTGAGCAAGGGTTGTTCAAGTGACCCATATGGGCATTGATTTTTCGTGTTGGTTGGTTGACTGACCTTTAAATTTGAACCAACTGGTTAATAATGCTGCTCGTTATGCTTCAAACGTGGTCGTAATTCCTTTTGAATCCCTACAGGAAAGCTTAACCTAGTAACATTTACAGATGGATTATATAAATACTTCCCACCCAAATTTTATTGGTGGAACCAAGGCTGTGGAGGTTGCAATGCAGCAAGTCAAGTCTTCTAGGGTTCCACATCCTGTGGCACGGACAAAGGTATGGAATTCTGTCAGAAAATGATTATTATGATTATGTGTTTATTTATCTGCTTATTCTGTATCATCCAATATGATTCTTTTGGTGTAGCAGGATACTGTGGAGACCGATAAAACAGTTTCTTCTGGGAGTCAGATGAAATCTCGTTCTTTTCTTGGCCGGCAACCTAATGGAATCATTCCTGACCAGGCACGATATTGTTTATTTTCTGCACCTGACTTGGACACTTGTTACATTTCCATAATTGGCTTCTGCCCCTCAAATATTATATTTACATCTTGGCTCTTGGGCCACATTCTGTCGCTGATAACCTAAGAAGCAAATTATAAAATTTTGGATTGTTCTGTTAGAGACTTCTTATTTATCTGAACTCATGATTCTGCTACATATGTTGCTCAGGGTATTGTATCCGCAGCAGAGACTGATAAAGCTGCATCAGCTGGTAACGTTTCCATCAGTCACTTTCAATCTTCCATACCATGTGAAGATAAATAAACATATCTTTCTCACTTCTCAGATGACTTATTGATAAAGTCTCTGGTTGTCACTGAAACTACATGCATGCACACATAGCTTGTCTCTATGCATTTAAGAACTTGAGATTTTAGGTAGAGTCTGATTGTGGTTTCTTGGGCAATTGATTGTTCGCCATGGTTACAGCAAACACAAGCAGTTCAAGTTGGGGCATCTCATCAATATTTCGAGGGGGTGATGGCCGGGCAGCTGCTAAAGAGAACTTCTCAAGCAAACCATTCAGTGAAGCTGTTCAGGAAGTGGATCAGAACTTATCAATGATCTTTCTAAAGGAGGTAAAATCTTGTGCCCTGGGATTATTCGTATTGATAATGCAATAATTTTACCCATTCCTCTTATACTCTTTGCTTTTTGTAGCCCCCAACTGTTTTGAGGCCACCTGAAACCCATTCAGAACAAGAAGCAATTGAGATTGCCATAACAAAGCTATTATTGAGATCATACTATGATATTGTAAGGAAAAATATTGAAGACTTCATACCAAAAGCAATTATGCATTTCCTGGTAAGTTTGTCGCTAGCCCCTCACTCTTCTCAGGGTGTTTTCACTGTCTGAAATAGTACAATTTGATAGTAGCTCTCGGAGGTTGAAAATATTTTGCTTTCTCTCTGTCTCAGTGTAGTCTTCTGTGTTGATTTAGGTTTTTATGTTGTGTTTTCTTGTTCCTTGAAATTTTCAAGTACTTGTATGTTTTAATGGTCAAACACCACCATGGCACTTTTAAGTAAACGCCGCCATTGTGTTTTTAAGTAAATGTATGTCTATCTTCTCGTACAAATACCCCGATGCATTATTTTTTACCTAAATGATGACTAAATCTCAAAGATACTGATGCAACCTCCATGTGATTGAATATATTCAGGTAAATCATACAAAACGTGAGCTACACAATGTCTTCATCAAGAAGCTTTACAGGTTTGCAATGGAAATTGTTGGCCTTTTAAAAAAAATTTAAAAAGAGCTCGTTTATCTACAGTTTTATATGGATCATCTCCTAATTATCCGTTTACTGAATGTTTCAATCTGGAACAGGGAGAATTTGTTCGAAGAAATGCTGCAAGAACCAGATGAGGTAGCAATGAAGAGGAAGCGTACACGAGACACACTTCGTATTCTTCAGCAAGCTTATAGGGTAGGTTCCAAGCTCATTGATTCTCAAGCATCACTCTCTGCATTGCATAGCTTCATATCACATCTTCCAACATTTGCCCTCGTAGATATTATACCATTTTCTTATCCGTGGACATGTTGCTCTAAATGTTCCACATTTGATCAAATATAGTTGACCACGGTTTTGTTTGTGGTTAAACAGACACTAGATGAGCTGCCTTTGGAAGCAGAATCAGTAGAGAGGGGATACAATCTTGGCCCCGATGCAACAGGACTGCCAAAAGTTCACGGTTTACCGACGTCCTCTATGTATTCCACGAGCAGCGGTTCTCTAGACTCGTACTCATCTCCCAAAACCGTGAGATCCAGGAAATCAGGAGAGCAACACCAGAATTTATACGGAAGCATGGATTCAAACGGGCATGGACGCCTTCAAATGCCAGGTCTTTATCCTTCTCACGATCTGTAAAATCCATTTCAATCCCCGTGACCATAATAAAAAACGCATTCCATTCATTTGATGGCTTTCTTCTAAATTTTCCGCCGGGAAAAGCTTTTGATGAGTGGGGAGAAGTCATGTAGCATCTCCTTGGATATTTCTCTAAGCAGAATAGAGAACAAGACAGTGTGGTTTGGTTCCCCTTGGTTTTTTTTCTTCTCAGAAATACTTAAAAAAAGGGTATAGGGTGATGTTATGATTATATTTGTTTTGAATTCAAAAGCTCCGGGAAGAATAATGAAAGGGGGGAGCAAACAACCTTATTGTTCGAAGTTCCTTTTTGTTTCTCTGATCATTTGGTACGGCAGACTACTTAGCAGAGATATAATCTTTTGTCGGGTTCCCATGCACAAAGTTTGTCTGTCATTTTGGTTGTTCTTTCTTCTGGTTCATAGGGTTATGCTCTGTGATCTTTGGTGTTTTTGGATGATTTAAATTTTTGGTTGTTTTATGCAGATGTTCACAAGGTTTATTGAGCATAGGCGGGGTTTATTTTGCACGATTCAATAGGTAATTTAGAGGCTTGGGAAGTGTCCGTTGTTTTGTTTGGGGTCAAATGGTAATTATAAAAAAATAATGGGCACTTTGTTTGGAGGGGGTATGTAATTATTGGTGATAAAGAACAATATATATACCATAGAAAACTTAACATTGCTTTTACAAGGATGACATTTATTAACAAAAATAGCATAAAATTTACAAATAGTGTTACCTTAAAAATCCAGGTTTCTTGACATTCCTTGCCTAGTCTTGAATCCAAACTAACACGTAATCGGGCTTGCAAAGAACAGATCAGCGATTGCAAAAACAGTGGTTACCAACTGAATCAGATGATCTCCAAATGGTAAACAAGCTTTCACATAAGTTCACCTACGAAGTCTTTGCCTTTAAAACTCTCTAAGCGATCAATGAAAAAAGTGCACAAACGAATCCGCTTCCTCTGAGATGACAAGCAAATAGTTTTCAGGACGATGAATACCGTAAAAAAAAACCCCTACTTATCAGTTAGAAGAGACACTTACATTGAACAGTGCGGAGAAAACCTCGAAGCTCAAAGTTTATGTACATCGAGAAAAAAACTTAGGCTTGAAGCCTCAGCCGGTTGAAGAACACCACGAAGTGATATTCAGGCGCCCAATAGACAAATCCAACGACGGGTCCTCCTTTCACATACTGCATCGGATCATAAATATCGCAAGAAAACGTTACGCAAGTGGAACTTTAACCCGCAATTAAGACCTTGATAGGATGTTTTAGAGAAATGAGGAACCTTTCCATCAAGGATTACAAGTTCGCCATCTACCCATCTCGGATTCCGGAATCCAGGGTCCGCAAGCCTGCCCTGCCCCTTATACCGCGCAATCTGATTTGTTAAAATAAAACCACAAGAAATTACACAAATTATAGAGGAAAAAATTATAAACATAACAAAAAGATTTAGTCACTTGGGCAGTGTTTTAACAGTACAATAAGAAATGCATACCACTCCGAATTCCTCGGGGATAAGCCCTCTGTGTGGAAGCTCATAACGTCTACCAATCTTGGCGCGGAATGCTACCTGTACATTTGAAGCTAACATATTGACAAGGGGAACACCCGATATTGCAGTTCAGTATCTTTGCAAAGGAAATCTATAGTTTGTGCCAATCAAGTTTTACACTATACGAGGGGACAGCAAAGATGCATCCCTTTCTGCAAAACTCATATTTATGTCCTACCTTTCATATTAGTATATGATAACTCAATCCATAAGAATGGGAAATGAATCTTACCTTTCCGGCAGGCACATAAGGATCTCCAGTTAATTTCACAGCTTCAACATATTCATAAAATTCAATCTCCGTCGACTTCTTAGACTCCTTGTCATCTTTCCACTGGCCAAATTTGCGTTTCAAATGAATTACTTCTGAGGTATACAGCCCATGTGCGCCCATATAGAGTCCTGGACAGAAATAAAATGATTCTGATTATCCTTTTCATAAAAGGGAGATAGGGTGAATATTGAAACATCTGAATAAAGCCATACTTAAAAAATTTGTTATAGATTTAAAAACCATTGAACACAATGATAAACCTTACTCATTTCATTATCTTATGAGAGATATAGTAAAAAAAACCCTCACCATCTAAAGGATCAGGTGATGGCATCACATCAATGCGACGGAATCTCGTCAATCCAGACAGCTGCTTACGCTTTTGGGCCTGACTGAGAGTAAGGCTTAACAATTCACCGACATCTTTAAGCATCTGCGACATATACTTCAAGTTTAAAGGTAGTATTATCCAATTTGTAATTGAGTAAATACTCGTGAGAGAACATTACACAAACCTTTAAAGAAATCCTCTTCTCTCTTTCGATCGATTTAGCAAGGTCGAACATAAGATTATCAATCCTGCGTCTGCTTTGGAGTTTGGCTTTCCCATCAACTGAGGCATTTTCCACACTCTTAGGATCTTGTAGCTTTACATCTTTCTCTAGACGAAACTGTCGACAAGAGCGTCCAATGGCTTCAAGATTGGCTGGAAGTCGAAGTGACTCCTTATTAAGAGGTTGACTTCCAGAAAGCCTATCCACAATATCACCTATAACAACTTTAACTGCAAATTCTCTTCCCTCATTGTCATCTACAATTCCATCCATCACAGATTCCAATTCAATATCATCGTTTTCCTCCTCAATTTCAGCCTTAGTTTCGTCTTCAATTTCTAGGTCATCTTCGATATCTTTCCCTTCATCTTCATCATCATCTTCGTCATCTTCATCTTCGTCATCATCTTCTTCATCAACTATCTGGTCAATGACTTTTGAGATGAAATCCTTGTCTGCCTTCCCAGGTACAGTTACTTTTACAACCTTGACTTTTACACCAGGAATCATATCGCGCAAGAAGCTCTGGAAACCAGAAGACTCCTCAAGAATATCGGAGTCATCATCTGTGTTGTCACTCTCTTCGTCCTCAGAGCTTTCAATTGAAAGATCACTATTTTCTTCCTTCCTAACTGGTGGATTTAAAAGCCTTGCAGAACCCAAAGTTCGGGAAGGCATAACCGACGTATCTGGGGAAACTTCCTTCCACTTTAAGTACACAGCCTGTTAAAGCATGATCGCCCAAGAAAACATCGGTGAAACCAATTTCAACACCAATATAGGATCTGTAAATAATTTAATCCTTCGAAAAGGTTAAAATATCTGCCCATAAACCAAACAATGAATCAAAGTCTATAGCTTGTTAAAAACAAAGAAAACGATACTCAAATGAAAGCCCAACTACACAAACATGACAGAATAAACAGAAGGGTTTGGAAAGAAAAAGTACCTGCTTGTTGTAGTTTCCTTTCTTATCGACAGTGAGAAATATTTCAAACAAAGGAGCACCCAAAGCAGATGCAGTAAGCTGCCTGAGAAAGAAGATTTGTTATATGATAAACTCTTTTTAAGAAACAGCTGGGCATAATATGAAGTTCAGTAGAACCTCAACAACTACTATCCAGAAATGTGTTTGTTTACTCAGATCTCATTGCCACAGAGACATGGATTAAAAGAGAACAAGTAATTACCGAGGATTTAAACTTCTTGCAACATATCTTCCATGCTCTGCAGTTATTTGAATAATTAGACCATACGGATCCTTGACATCTTCTGAAATGCCTGACCACCAGCCCACCTACAAACACAGATGATCATGTCATTATCAATATCAACAGGAGCTGAGCTATACCATTTGGATCAAGTGCTTCTGAATTATCAAACTAAGATGGCAATGAACTAAATTAAACAAGTCATTGGTGTGACAGAAAATTTTGAAGTGAAGCCATCAGCTCACCAACCCAGCACCAGCTTTGTCTCGTAGATATGCTGCATCCATGTAACTCTTCCACTATAGCTCTCTATCAAATTGAAAAAATAGACAAAGGAGGAAAATTTTAAACATGGAGGAACACACTTGTAATGAGTTCTTTGCACGTCGAAGTGGAAACCGGAAATTGCATCACATGCACATACGCTCAAACTAGACATCACTTTGCCAACTGTGTCATTTGTAGCTGCTGCAGCGATTGCCACCTTCACCCGGGCAGCATCTTCGTAATCCTCTTGTTCTACAGCCCGCTTTAATTGTGACTGTAAGCAATACAAACCCACTTCAGAAACATTTTCTTCACATTATGTTTGCAATTTCACATTCACACAAGCAATTCTACACAAGAAACCATGACAATCTATTGGAAAGAGTACTAAGCTCTCAAATTTGACTCGAACAACTACCCTTACAAATTTTCCAGAATAGACAAGAAAGACATAGAACAGAATAATCAATACGCAAACAGAGTAACACCCGCATGAACACACATGCAAACATATGCTCATAGATATAAATTTTCGAGTTTATGCACCTTTAAGACGGAGAGAAGACGCTGCTGCTCATCCACTTGTTCGAAATGCTTCTTCCATCGCTCCCAATCCCATTCATCTTCTTCGCCTTCTACTTTCTTGTTCTTCTTCTTGACATTTCCCGTTTCTTGGTCCCCAGAAACGACGTCGCTTCCACCATCCTTATCCCGTGTCCTGTACGGACTCAACACAGAATCGAACCGTTCGATGGCATTCTTGAGGACATCTTGAATAGCAGAGCCCCAATTCCGGTGAAAAGGAGACGCATCTTCACCGGAGGAGGAGGCGGAGGAGTTTCCGCCGGTGGAGCAGCGGCAGAGGGAGGCGGCGGCAGGATCCGGGGGCCGAGGGTGAAAGGATCTTTTCGCGGGAGCGAGCCTGGATGCTGCTGCAGCGGCGAAGGCGAGGTTGGGTGGCGGCGGCGAGGCGGAGAAGGAAGTCATCGCCGGCGAGTTTCTAGAGAGAGAGCATATAGAGAGAGAAAATTATAAGGACGTATTTGAGATTTGGGACCGTGTGTGGACGAAACCGTATGATTCGAGTTTTAGAGAACATCTTTTGTGGTTCTGTTTCTGTTGTCATAAGCCGACGATACGGTGCGTTTTGGTTCTCAGTGTGTGTGGACTTTGTTATGTGGGCCTAAAGCCCAATTACTTAACTAATGCAAAGTATCTCTCCCTCTATAATTTTATAGAATAATTTCATAGGTAAACAAATAACACAATAGATTTTAAAAATATATATATTTTCGACAAATTTCAAAGTCAACGCGAGACTAAATTGTGCTTCGGGAAAGTTATTATTTTTAAATTTTAATGCTTTTTTACACCCCATAAATTTGATATTTTTTTTATCATGGGAAATAGTTTTAACACTAACATTACGCATGCATGCATGTTCGTTGAGCACACAAACCGACTTGAGAAATTTGCAGAAGAGTCTTTGCACCGTTGAACTAACTTGGCTTCCATTCGTTGATTTGGCAGCAAACGAGACATTAGAAGTTGAACTAACAAATGAGGAAACCGAACCGACCAAGTCATATGTATAACTCTCAATTGTCCCTATATAAACTCAATAGCATACCATTTGCTTCTCCATCACCCACAAGACAGGGAATCCAATAGAAATTAACAGCAATGGCTTCCTCTTGCAATCTCTTCTCCATTGTTATCTTCGTCGCTGCTCTCTCCTTCGCTTGTATGATCGACAGTGGTCTAGCCGCCCGTCACCTCCTCCAACAGCAGCCGCCTCAGCCATTACCTCAGATGCCACCGCTGCCGCAGATTCCAAACCCTACCATGGGACTGCCTCCGTTGCCATCTTCATTTCCACAGATTCCTAAGATGCCTACCATCCCTACAACGGGATTGCCTCCGTTGCCATCTTCGCTGCCGCAGCCTTCACTTCCAACTCTTCCCACCGCACAACCTTCTCTCCCGACCATTCCAACCGCTCTGCCTCCGCTTCCAAAGGTGACTTTGCCTCCTTTCCCGACCGCAATGCCTTCTCTTCCCACGAATTTCCCTTCCATCCCCTTCCTCTCCCCACCTCCTTCAACCTCCACGTCTAGTCCTTGAGAGTCATTGTCTTCTTTGTTGCATTTTCTATGTATGTTTACCCATATTTGTTTACTTTGAATTTGTCGTTTGGGTTGCTCTTTCGATACTACACGCAACACGATGCTTTGATTTGGTTTTCTTTAGTTTCCCTTATACCCTTTTGTTATTGATAATATATTTTGGATTTGGTTTGTATCATTTGAGTGTTTGATTTACTCTCTTTTTACATATTAAAGGATTGTTTCTTTCAGAATATTGCATTCGTGCTTTATATAACTTTGTAACTTTTTTTGCTATAGATCCCAAGAAAAAACTCAATTCGAAAACAAAGGGCGACAACAATTAAAAGATATTAAAAGTTCACCATTTTTTTTATATTTCTTAAATGATATCATCATAAATTAAGAAAACTCTAAAACCATTTAAAAAAAATCTTCTCAACATAAATCACATTCCAATAAACAAGAAAGCAACAAAAGGTGATTCGAAAACTATATACAAAACAAACACAAAACAATTGATTCACAAAATATTCTATGTAAAACTTATCTTACACTGCCATTAAATCTTTATATGAAATCATTAGGATTACATTTGATAATAATATAAACAATCGAGATAAAATATGGAAAAATTATTCGTATTATTTATTATTAAAAAATTACAAGTGAAAATTCTGAAAATAATTATATATACACACCACTGTGTATCTTTACTTCAGCTCGAAACTAACACAACTAGTAAACAATATAAAATGAAAAGTTGGTAAGCTCTTTTGTCCTTCTTCACGTCGAATCGTGGATTCGAAAGCTTGATCCTTTCTCTCAGGAAGAACATCGGGATCGGTACATCGCTCGGCGACGGAGAACGGTTTGTCGTAACCGAACCAGCGAACAACTCCAAGTTTCTCTTCTTCTTCTTCTTCGTCTCCTCCTCACTTGGAACAGGAGCTTCTTGAACGGCGTCGGCAGTTGGATTAGGGTTTGTTGTAACCCAACTAGCAAACAACTCCGAGTTTCTCTTCTTCTTCTTCGTCTTCTCATCCTCCTCACTTGGAACAGGAGCTGCTTGAACGACGTCGTCGGAAGTTGGACTAGGGTTTGTTGTGACCGAATTAGCCAACAACTCCGAGTTTCCCTTCTTCTTCTTCGTTTCCTCCTCACTTGGAACAGGAGGGTCCTGAACGATGTCGGAAGTTGTGACCGAACCAGCAATCAACTCCGAGTTTCTCTTCTTCGTCTTCGTCTTCTTCTCACTTGGAACGATGTCGGGAGTTGGATTAGGGTTTGAACGGGATAACTTTGGATGTCGGGATGCAACTGAAGATGCATCGGGTCTGGGTCTCGAAAAACGACGATGATGATCAAAGGAGATATCTTCATGGATGTGGACGAAGGAATCTCGAAACATGAGGCGAAAGCCAAAGGAGCATGGACGAGGTAGGCGTCGCGGACGAGTAAAGTATGCGTGATAGCCATCGCCTTCATCATATCTGATGACGAAATCTTGCTTCTGCTTCTGCTTCTGCTTTTGGGTGGATGAGCAATTGAACGAGGCATTGCAGGTGGAGGGGTATCGGTATTTATATGTGTTTTCTTCTTCATCCTTTCTTCCGCACGGAATCAATATGAACCGACGCGTATACTTCATTTCCTTTTCTGAAAAAGGAAAATTCTATCACAACGATTATAGATAGGATCGTAGAATATGGGATCTAGAATTTCCTCTTCTCCATGGGAAAAAATGTATATTTTTTTCCTTTCCTAAGAAATCGTAACAAACTAACGATAACTAAAGAAAATAGGAAGTGATATTTATTCATTTTAAAATTGCCATAAAGTCAGCAAAAGGTTTAATTTTTTTCCTTTATCTCAGGAGAAATATATATATATATATATATATTCTAAAATTTATAATCTAACTACACAAATTTCATCTAGTTTTTCTTTTTGTTTTATATTAGATCTCAATTTTGTCGTGGCTATGTTAGAAATTTATCGGGAAAGGCCAAGTCACTGTGTCGTGAGAAGTAACGCTTGAATTTTGTATATCAAATTTTGAGCATCTACTTTCTCATAGAATTGAATTTACTTTCTCGATTCAAATTACAAGATTAACTTTTACAAAAGAAAAAAAATTTACATTCTCGTTGTCACAATTATTTGTTCTGTGGCAAGGGTTTCAATTCTTATTATAATCACAACGCATGAAAATTTTTAAAATAAAAAGATAATTTGTAGCGATTCTTCAAATAGTCTAATTTTAAAATCAAGATGTGAGTAATTTTTTACAGGTACAATTTTTCAATTTTTTTCATAATAAATTTTTTATTCGCTCTACTACCATCGTCTTTGTTTTTGTTTTGTTTTTTTTAAATGGTAAGGTATTATTAGGTATAGAAAGTTGGTAAACTAACTTAGGTTTCATCAGCTGATTTGTCTGAAAAAAGAGACATCAGAAGTTGAACTAACAAACGAATGGTCTCATGGATCTTGTGCCTATATAAACACCATACCACATCACTTCTCTCCATCACCCTCGAGACGAAGAATCCAACACAAACTCGGATACGCATCCTTTCGACTATCACAAATGGCTACCACCTCTTTCAAGCTCTTCTCCTTCGTTCTCTTCGTCGCTCTCACTTTCTCTTGTATGGTCGGCAGTGGTCTAGCCGCCCGCCACCTCCTCCAGCAGCAGCCGCAGCCATTACCTCAGATGCCACCGTTGCCACAGATTCCTAATATGCCTAACCCTACCATGGGACTGCCTCCATTGCCTTCTTCACTTCCGCAGATTCCTAATATGTATATGCCTACTATCCCTACAACGGGATTGCCTCCATTGCCATCTTCACTTCCACAACCGGCACCTCCTTCTCTCCCGACCATTCCGACCGCTCTCCCTCCGCTTCCAAAGGTGAATTTGCCTCTTTTCCCGACCACGATGCCGTCTCTTCCTACTAATCTCCCCTCCATCCCCTTCCTCTCCCCGCCTCCTTCAACCTCCACCTCTAGTCCATGAGCGATTTCGCCATTGTTTCTGATGCATATTTTTCTCTAAAGTTACTGTTTGGTTTGTGTTTACTATACTATCGAATAAACGCACACGATTCTCGGGATTGTTTTTCTTTCGTTTGGCCTTTCGCATTTTCTTACAATGTTGTTGTTGTACTTTGGATTTGATTTGTATCACATTGATGAGAGCTTCCTTCACTCTCTTTCTATATATATTAATTAAACGGTTGTTTCATTTAAGATATTCCGTTAATACCTAATGAAGTTTGGTGAGACATGGTTTGTTGATCCATCGAACTTAAACGATATTAAGTTTTAAAAATAAAAATAAAAACGACAGCATTACATGTATACGCACACAAACAGACAACGGCTTTCATATGAAATGTTTTGGTTGGTTCTTACATATTTTTAGGGGGTGTCAATAGGGTATGCCCGGCCAAACCCCCCACGCGGCCCGAGGATTTCGAGTTCGAGCATGGATCAACCCGATTTTTTTCGGGCCTAAATAAGCAAATCTAAAACCCGATCCTATAAATTTCGGATTCGGGTGGAACCTGATTGGACCGACCCACTCAATTTGTTCTTTGTAATATCGTTTTTTATTTATTTTTCTCTTATTATTTTGTTTTCAAAAACCGCTCGAAGTCTAATTTAAGCCCGACATACAAACCCGTAACTTTTTCTGTTTCTGGTCTGACATATTTATATTCAAAACCCGACATTTTTCGGACAGATCAGACGCGACTTCGAACCAAAATTGACTTCCTACATCTTTTGTTCATGGTCTCTTCCACTAGACTCCATGACCGACATTTCTAAATCTATTTTGAACAAAAGAAGGATTTGGATACTTTACTTTAATGGAAAGAGAATATACATCAGTCACGTGAATACATGGTCTTGCAACGACTTGTTTAAATGCCCGTGTTACATTGCATTTAAATTGAAAGATAATTTTTTTTCTATCAAAACGAAAATATCCTTTTTTTAAGGGTAACAGAAAGTTTCTCTGTATTTTTCTAACTTATTTTTCACATAAATTATCTGAGGAAAGAAGAAATTGGAACTGTTTGACAAAGGATTACAGTATCCCTAGGACCAAACTGACCGGTCTTTGATGGCAATTCTACTTCCTTCCTTGCCCGTTGTGGTTTCTCTGTGCTCAATCGTCCATTTCTCAAACTTGCAATCCATAAAATCGTAGTACCCTCCATGCAAAGAGAGTGACCCTCCGTACTTTATCTTCAATCCATGGGTAACCAAGCAAGTTCTGCAACGAACAGTTGACCGACTCCTGCAGCAGACACAAAGATCTCTCCTTTAGATTCTTGTCCGAATCAGCTAACTCAATGGGGTTTCGCCTTTAGATTCTTGTCCGAATCAGCTAACTCGAAGAGTTTGTGGAAACAGATGAGTGGAAAACAATGATTGAAATATATTGGTCATGTTCTCGGTAGCGCAATGTTGTACCTTCTCGCAATGCTGGCATTGATGATCGAAATGGAGATCGGAAGCAGCAGTTCTCGTGCTTGCCTTTGCTTCCTTCCCGACAATTACCCAATTTTGGATGAAGCTACTGTAACATGAAACCCGATACAGTGAGGATAACCCAGTCTCGTGTTTTTTTTTTCTTTCTATTTTAGTAAGATGAGGAGGCGGTGAAAACCTGGAATCTGCTTCGTCTTCCATGCTCATAAGGGCCCGGATTCCCCCGCAGCGGCTATGGCCAATAACTAAGATGTTCTCAACCTACACAAAGACATTATCTAATCCTTATCTTCTCGACATGAAAACAAATACAACTATCTTCTCTCTGTTCCTGGTACTTCATTAATGAGGCAAAAGAACCCAAAGTCTGAGATAAATTGATCCATTTACTGAATTTCAAGGGTTGATTCGGAGATTACGTTATAAAGTATTGAAGCTTATAAGTCAGAACTACTCACATTAAGGAAATTAACAGAAAACTCGAGAGCAGCTTTTGTTTCTGAAGGGCCAGACTGAAACAGCAACAGAGAAACAAGAGATGGCATCAAGTTTCTGGGAAAGGTATACCAACATGGAGAAGACACAACAGTCTAAAAGGATTTCTTTTCAATACCTCATACGCAGGTACTAAATTCGCAATATTCCTAACCGTGAAGGCCTCTCCCGGTTGAAATCCTAGAATAATGGAAGGACAGACCCTAGAGTCTGCACAAGCAATCACCAGAAACTGTTCCTTAAACCATTAGCAACGAATCCCTTATCCAGACAACACACAGTTAAAACTACAAGATATTCCGAAAGTTAAAGCAAAAGACAGTTAACTTCCTCCAAAAGGCGTAGATCATAAAATCTCTAAAACGTGTATCTACCTTTGGAGCCTGAGCATTTGAAAGATTCTTGAAATGTTCTAAGTTCTCCCTGCTCAAAAACATATTTTGCCGATACTCCCTCAAACAACATAGAAAAGAAAGAACGAAAAAGCAAACAACAAAAGAAAAAACAGGGCAAGGTTTTTTGCCACTCACATATATTTGTGCTTTTTAAACATGAGAAAATGTTGTTTCATGTCCTCGAAAATATCAGTGCTATTTCCGGTATCAGCTTTAGCTTCTTGAGTCAGCGATGGGGGCTTCCCTGAAGCCATGAGTTTTAAGTTTGGGAATCTCCTGGAAACACCAAAGTGCAACATATACAGTAACCATTCACAGTAGTGACGGTCACAAAACTGGCAGAGCTTTCGCACTTAGAAAATCCTGAAACTTCTTGCGTAATATGAAACAACAAAAATAAAAAGCTAGTAGCATCACATAACAGATCTTATATCTGAATTTCATGGAAGAAAATCTAACCAATAAGTAAACAGCAAATGGCTTAACATAAGATGCGGTAACCAGAATGAATCCAACAACGACAGGCATGTCCCTCCGGAATGGCGATACAATTACAAGGACATACAAGTTCTCGTAGCAGAAAAGTCAGACAAATTTAGAGCCTTTCATACTTTTCCAGTCCACTTTTGGTTAATGCTCTGAACAAAACAAGCTAAATAATGTTCAAGTATGCTTAATTTCCAAAAAGCACATTGCCTTGTTTGCGATATCGAAATGCAGCAGAGCCATTGAGCCAACACTCAGAGGAAAGGATATCAGCCATGACACCAATCCAAAATCACTAAATAGAAAACCTAAACTAACACGAGAAGCAATAGAACAAATCCAAAATCACTAAAGGATCAGAACTCTATATCTGCATATGGTGAATATCAGAAGCCTAGCTACAGCACCAATCTCCAAATTCACGAAGTAACAATTTAAACAACACAGAAGCAACATCCAAAATTGAACGAATTTCTGAAACCATAACAGAATCACTACTCAGGTGACAAACTCTTTATTCCCCGTTCCGACGATCAGAGCAGATAAAAACTTCAAATTCTTACAAGAATCCGACAAGAAAAGTTCGTCAAACCCCTGAATTACCTGAAAAGGTCTAAAAATCTCAACTGGGTTTCCTCAGTTTCCCTCAACTTCACCTCGGAACCAAAGATCTGCAGAAAAAAGAAACGAATGAGCAAACCCAGAAATCGAACCGTGTCCAAATTGAGAGGTACGAGACAGAAAATCCAAACACACCGGTTGTTTTTGCGAGTGACCGACTGATGTGGAACATGTAGGAACCTTGAAAACAATCAAGTGTCCGGAAACGGCCGCCATTAGAGAGCTCTATAAAGGAAACGTGGTGGGTCTGGAAATTACGAATCTGGAACGAAGAAGATTGTATCCAAAGAGGCCTCATCTGAGAAAAGGTGAGAGCTTCTGATTAAAAGCTTCAGCATTTATTAAGGAATAAAAAAAGGGGGAATTTGGAAAGACGTGGATCGAAGAACGCTTGAAAATCTCCAACAAAGACGGAGAAACCAAGGCTTTGTGATCGGAGTTTTGTCCCCTCCACTCTACCAGACAGAGTCGGTCGCTTTTTAGGTTTCCCTTAGCTTTTTTTTTTAACAACAAAAAAAGGGAAATACTTGTTTGTTAGATTAAATAAACGTTCACTTACGAGTAAGATTTGATGGGTTATATCGAATTAAGATTCTATCTCATCGAATCCAAAATCTTTTGCAACACGGCAGATAATTGTGACAATGGGAAGTGTACCATTTTTTTTAAATAAATAAACTTATAACTTGTATGGAAATTCAATTCTATGAGAAAGGAAAATGGTCACAAATCCAATCCCACCTTCTTAAGTTCTTGTTACCATTTCTTAAGAAAAGGAAAAAAATCCATTCAGGAGAGGAGATTCTAGATCCCATATTTTATGGAAACCTACAGTCCACTGATTCTATTGGTCGTTAGAAAAATGAAACATATCTATAATCGTAGTGATAGAATTTTCCTTTTTCAGAAAAGAAAATGAAGTATACGTGTCGATTCATGTTCATTCCGTGCGGAAGAAGGCAAGGGATGAAGAAGAAAACACATATAAATACCGATACCCCTCCACCTGCAATGCCTCGTTCAATTGCTCATCCACCCAACAGCAGAAGCAGAAGCAAGATTTCGTCATCGGATATGATGAAGGCGATGGCTATCACGCATACTTTCCTCGTCCGCGACGCCTACCTCGTCCCATGCTCCTTTGGTTTTCGCCTCATGTTTCGAGATTCCTTCGTCCATGTCCATGAAGATATCTCCTTTGATCATCATCGCCGTTTCTCGAGACCGAGACCCGATGCATCTTCAGTTGCATCCCGACATCCAAAGTTGTCCCGTTCAAACCCTAATCCAACTCCCGACATCGTTCCAAGTGAGAAGAAGAGAAACTCGGAGTTGATTGCTGGTTCGGTTACAACTTCCGACATCGTTCAGGACCCTCCTGTTCCAAGTGAGGAGGAAACGAAGAAGAAGAAGAGAAACTCGGAGTTGTTGCCTAATTCGGTCACAACAAGCCCTAATCCAACTTCCGACGTCGTCGTTCAAGCAACTCCTGTTCCAATTGAGGAGGAGGAGGAGAAGGCGAAGACGAACAAGAGAAACTCGGAGTTGATTGCTGGTTCGGTTACAACAAACCCTAATCCAACTGCCGACGCCGTTCAAGAAACTCGTGTTCCAAGTGAGGAGGATGAGAAGACGAAGAAGAGAAACTCGGAGATGTTTGCTAATTCGGTCACAACAAACCCTAATCCGACTGTCGACGCCGTTCAAGAAGCTCCTGTTCCAAGTGAGGAGGATATGATGAAGAAGAAGAAGAGGAACTCGGAGATGTTTGCTGGTTCGGTTACGACAAACCATTCTCCGCCGCCGACCGATGTACCGATCCCGATGTTCATCCTGAGAGAAAGGATCAAGCTTTCGAATCCACGATTCGACGTGAAGAAGAACAAGAGAGCTTATGAACTTTTCATTTTATATTGTTTACTACTCATAGTTTCGAATTGAAGTAAAGATACACAGTGAATATCACTGTGTATACTTATTTTCAGAATTCTCAGTTGTAATTTTTTAATAATAAATAATAAGAATAATTTTTCCATATTTTATCTCGACCCTTTATATTATTATCAATTGTAATTTAATGGTTTCATATATAGATTTAATGGCAGAGTAAGATAAGTTAGGGTTTAAATATATTTCCTTTACCTGATATCAAATATAATTAATAGAATTCAATTCAAATTTTTTTCACCTTCCCTAAGAAAAGCCATGCGCGAACCCATGTGTATGCAACTTTTTTTTAAAAAAAAAACTTTTTGTTGAAAAAATCTGAACCCAAAAATCCTGAGATCACGACCAATCAGGTCGCGTTTTACATGAAAAATCATATTGAGTAGTAGGTTGAGTTGGAACAAAACTCTCTCTTATGTTTTCATTGATACGTAGCAGCAAATATATATATACATTAGAGATAGAATCGAGATCTGAGGTCTGTTGCATGGAAAAGTGGGAACATTGGCTTTGGCCCTCATGAGACAAGTTACCTTTTTAAGATTTTGTACGATGCATTTGTTTCATGCTTTAGTTATTGATTTATAAATCATATCTTATACTAGAAAGCTATTGGTTTAATTAGTTAAATGAATTTTAAATGCAATATTTTATAGGAAAACAATTATTTAACATGGAGAAAGAGAGTGAATCAAACACTCATGATGATACAAAGCAAATCCAAAATACATCATCGATAACAAATGGGTATAACGGACCAAATCAAAAGGATATTACATAGTTAGATAAGAAATTTTAGATAATATATTTTTTCCAGAGATAAAGAGGGGGAAAAAAGAGGATATCACGATTCACGGGATCTATTCGTCCTTAGAAAAAAGGAAATATATTTATAATTTTTTTGATGATTTTTTATATATAAAAAAATTGAAACGCGTTTCCTTCCATGAAAAGGAAAGAAAACGCATCATAAATCCCCCCCCCCCCACCACACCCCAT